ACACACACACACACACACACACACACACACACACACACACACACACACACACACACACACACACACACACACACACACGCAGGCACACACAGACACAGAGACACGCGCACACACACACACACACACGCAGACAAATGCATACACACACATGCACACAAACACGCACAGACACAGACACACACAGACACACACACACAGACACCCAAGCACACACCAAGACACACACACACAAACACACACACACACACACAGTCACATGCAAACACGCACAAACACACACACAAACAGACACACAAACACATTCACAAACACACGCAAAGACTCACAAACACAAACACGAAGACAAACACAGACACACGCACACACACAGACACAGACACAGATACAGACACAAAGACACAGACACAGACACAGACACAGACACAGACACAGACACAGACACACACACACACAAACGCACAGACGCACACGCACGCACACACGCGCACACACACACACACAGAGACACCACACGCGCACCTCTCTTATTCCTTGGTTGCTCTGCTGCCTGGTGCTATCACCGCTGGCTCACATCACCACTCTGTAAGCCTATGAGGACTCTGGAATTTCAATGGAGTCGCTCGGGCTAAACATAGCTACAGCCTGCAAACGCATCATGTCCGACTTTGGAAACAGAGTCGGGAATGCTCACACTTGCCAATGAGCTGCAGTCTTCGAAGGCACATTCTGCAATCTCACTGACAGAATTGGGGATGGTCACGGTGGCCAATGAGCTGCAACCTTTGAAGGCACATTCTCCTATTCGAGTGACAGAATTGGGGATGGTCACGGTTACCAATGAGCTGCAATCTTCAAAAGCACTTTGGCCAATGTCAGTGACAGAGTTCGGAATGGCAACGCTTGCCAATGAGCTGCAACCGTGAAAGACTTTATATTCTAGGCTGGCAACAGAGTCGGGGATGGCCACGTTTGCCAATGAGCTGCAACCTTGGAAGGCAAAATCTCCGAACTGAGTAACAGAATTGGGAACCGTCACACTTTCCATTAAGCTGCAATATTGGAAAGCACCATTTCGTATCACAGTCACGGAGTTGGGGATGGCCACACGCGTTAATGAGCTACAGCCTCGGAAAGTGCGACTTGCTATGACATGTATGGAGTCGGGGATAGAAATGCTTGCCAGTGAGCTGCAACCTTGGAAGGAGCTATCTGCAATCTCAGTGACAGAATTGGGGATGGCAAAGCTTGCCAATGAGCTGCAACCAAGAAAGGCAGCATGTCTAATCTCAGTGACTGAACGGGGAATAGTCACGCTTTCCAATGAGCTGCAACCTCGGAAGAAGCTGTCTGCAATCTCAGTCAAAGAGTCTGGGATGACTACGCTTGCCAGTGAGCAGCAACCATCGAAGGCACCCGTTCCTATCGAAGTCACCGAGTTTGGCAAGGTCAGGCTTGCCAATGAGCTGCAACCTTTGAAAGCAAACGCTCCAATCTCAGTAACAGAATTGGGGATGGCAAAGCTTGCCAATGAGCTGCAACCAAGAAAGGCAGCGTGTCTAATCTCAGTGACTGAACGGGGAATAGTCACGCTTTCCAATGAGCTGCAACCTCGGAAGAAGCTGTCTGCAATCTCAGTCAAAGAGTCTGGGATGGCTACGCTTGCCAGTGAGCGGCAACCATCGAAGGCACCCGTTCCTATCGAAGTCACTGAGTTTGGCAAGGTCAGGCTTGCCAATGAGCTGCAACCTTTGAAAGCAAACGCTCCAATCTCAGTAACAGAATTGGGGATGGTAATGCTTGCCAGTGAGGTGCACCATGTAAAGGCACACTCTCGTATCGCAGTCACGGAGTCTGGGACGATCACGCCGGCCAACGAGCGGCAACAACCTTTGAAGGCATCTTTCCCAACCTCAGTCACGCCTCCTGGCAATTCCGCGACGAACAAATCTTCCCGCGTGCAGCCGGATGTTGAGAAGCTTGTGCATATCACCGGCTTGATACTCAGGAAAGCCAGAACTTGTGTACCTGGAATGGCTTCCGACACCATTTCCTCGTTGTTCAACAAGGGCGTCTCTCCAACAACCACCTCCACACAGCTCATGCTGCGCTTTGACTCATCTGCGCAGGGCAGCCACTGGCGCAGCTGCGTCTTGAACTCACGGAGGGTCATGTCTGCCAGCAATTCGAATGCCTCATCTGCTCCAGACAGCTGTCGCACCGCAATCACCCTTGCCATGGCTGATTTCTTCTTTGGCTACCGTGACTCGAGACTTTGTTCTGAAAAATACTAGAGTTTCTGCCTTAGCTGGAATCAAGCTTGAACCGCTTTGGCTGGCTGGGCCGTGCTTCGGCAACTTGGGTTGATGGAGAAAGGTGCGTGTCAACATAGGGGGAGCTTTTGCCCAAAATCTTCCCTAAACGACTTAAGAGGGTTGCCTCAACAAACTGGGCTGTCCGTTTTCAGATGCCCTGCTAAAAGTTTAACGATTACACCCGTTTGCTGAAGTCCCCTGGACAAACTCACATATTTCCAGTAGTGAAATCGATTCCCTTTTAAAACAAACAGGAAGAAATAAAACATATTCATTTCAGCAAATGGAAGACTATTGGGTTAAATATGGAATCCCAACCACTTCACAAACTAAAAGCTAAAAAGCTAGGCAATCGGATGGTCTGGGCGCCACTAAGAAAAAGCACACCGAGGCTTGCCCTGTTTCTGATTTCTGGATTTGTGCCCCGTGCTAGAAACGCCTCAAGAGGCGTTCAGAAACAAGAGATGCCACGCACCCAAAACCTTAGAGACACCGAGACGAAACCCCCTCACGAGAAAAGCAAAAAAAAAACGCGGTTCCAGTAAAACCAGGCTAGCCAGGTGAAACAGTCATGTAAAACCTGCTTGAAAACCCTGGCAAACTCCAATTGTTCATCAACTCCCATAAGTGCGGCCAGATTTCATGGGAGATATGCTTTAAATCTCTTAACGGACAACGTCGAAACTGGGCCGCTGGGATACTTCCCCCCAAAATCATACAGATCTGATTCATATTTGGTCAAGCCTAAAACATAAAACATTGTGGAGGAGATCCCGATACCTGTTCTCAGATGCCCAGTGGATTTCCATGGGAAACAAAGAATCGGCATCCAACTTCTTGGTTGAGTTTGAAGGAAGCGGATCCCATCCCTAAACAAAAGTCGGAAAAAAGGCAGCACCCAACCCCAAAAAACAGTCCACCAACCCAGTTAAAGAGGAGCCCTTCCCTTAAAAAACGTCAAAAAAGGGGGCGGAAGCCACTGGGCAAGTGGGGATCTCAGTCTAAGGAAGGGCTGTCCTTGTCTGTCGCGAGGCGCCTTTGAACCTGAAATAACCCGAGGCAGGGAATGGGGCGCCTAAGCCGGTATTCTCGCGAAAAGATGTTGTTGGTCGTCTTTTTGTAGTGGACCCCCCCACCAAAAAAAATAAAAAGAAAGGGAAGCGGCTTTAACTACCGTGGATTTCCATTGAAACGTCACATAAAATGACGTACCCTCCAAAAAAACAAATGCACGGACATACACTTGTTCAGATGACCAATGCTTGGCGAGCAGGGCGATGGGCAAATGTTAGGGTTTGCACTGAACCATTAGCCGGAAGTTGGCCGCAAGTTGCCACCAAGGGGCAACCCTTGTTCTCTGTGTTTTTCTCTCTTACTTCCTACCCTCCCACCAATTCACATGGAACCTGACGTTCGGGGGTGGCCTCATTTTAAAGCAACACTGATCTTTGGCAAGTGAAAGCTCCCTGCCGTTGGAATCGGGGGGGGGGGGGTAAATACGGTGGGTAGTTGAGAGCCCGGCTTGGAGCGTTCCCTTAAGCCTAAGACCCCCCCCTTGGACCACCCTTAGGGATTCCCCAACCTAACCTCCAAACCACTCCAAACGTCCCGAACTCAGCACGTCCCCAATCTCTCACTTCCGATCGAGTGGATGGCGGCCCAAAAAAGGTGACCACGCCTTTTTGTATGCCACAATGGTCCAAACCCGAAAATTCCGCAACCCAACCTCCAACCAATCCAAACGTCCCTTGAAAGAAGCCGAACTCAATCGACCTCAGCAAGTCAGTCCCTTCTCTCACCTTTTTGTATAGCGCAATGGTCCAAACCCGAACAAAAAGTGGCTCAGGTTCATGAACAGGGGCACTTTGGATCTTTGGAAGGGGTCCCTGGACCGAAGCTCGCGGCGTTGGGGTCCACGTTTGCCCATTTGCTGAAAAGAAGACATATACATGTACATATATATATATATATGGTGCCCCCCCCTAAAAGCCAGGCCCAACAACTGGACTCTGAAGTGTTGTTTTTGGAAAGGACAGCCGAAAGGAACACCACCATTTTGTGGGTTCCGTTTTCGCCAACAAAAATGGCGTATCCCCTCAACACTGAGAACACTGAGAACACCGAAGCCAAATTGTGCGTGTCTTTTCTTCTATTTGCTTAAGCCCCCTGACAAAAAAAAAAACAAATAACATCCAATTATCGCAGTAGTGAAATCAATTCCCTTTAAAGCCAACAAGGGACAATTCAATTTGCAACATCTTCCTACCCAAATGGAAGCATATTCCCACAAGAACCAGAGCTTCAAATCCGCGGCTTTCTCAAACCCATTTACCCACATCCGTGCGGGAGTGAGGGAATGAACCTGATTCCCGAAAGGAAACCACCAGTTGGACGGTTTCCATTCCACTTCTCATTCCCCTCTCGTATCGATCACAAGTGTTTCCTTTTGTTTTCCGGGCATCTATCACTCGAAACATATATGATTCATTCTTTTCCAGGGGGCCGAGTCTCAGCAAATAGATGGAATTTTCTAAAATGGATCGAAGTTTTCCACCTCCCTCCCAAAAAAAGGCAAGCAACAACACCAAAAATAAGTTTCATTTCAGCATAGAAGTTTGGTAGTCCACCGTTTTTGTTGGCTTCCCCCGGAGAAAAACAACAAACACAACAACTCCTTTGCCGCGGTGCGGGTTCCGCGCCGCGAGCTCCAGCGCCCCATAGGCGCCCATAGAGCTGCCGCAGAGGCCCAGGCGGCTGGGGTCCAAGTTGTAGCGGTCCTCGGCCCCCGCGACTTGGCAGCGAGCCAGGGGTGGTGGAAGTGTACCCCTAGACCATTTTTCTTCAAGGGCCTCTTTGTTCATCCCAAGGAGAATATACGCTCCAGGTTCCAGGGGTGGGTAACCAGGGGGCTGGGAACCAGGAAGTGCCGTGGAAGTGTACTACACAACCCCTTCAAGGGCTACCGATTTCGCAGCCTTGTGGTTCGGTCATCTAGATGCTCGGAGCAACCCCTACACTTGGTTTGAGGTCAAAACTCACGTCCGGAGTTCCGTTTCGGACTTTAGTCATTTTTTGGCTTGGACCATTTTCGTGTTAAATACACAGCTTGGCTGGACTACACAGCCCCTTCAAGGGCCTTTTTGTTAGTTCAGGTTCCAGGGGGTAAGGGGGTAACCAGAGGGTCTTCGGCCCCCGACTCGGCTCGGAACCAGGGGAGCTCGGAGCCAGTTTCGTGTTCCCCTACACAATTGGCCATGGGTTAAAAGCCTGTACAGTGAACAATAGACTAAAATGGGTGGTGCACCTATCCCAAAATGGTACCATTGCTATTGACCCACAGCTAATTGTTCTTCACCTAGATAGCCAAGTTGCGATCGTTTTTTTCAGCCACTGCTGCTGGTTTTTGGGGTAAAGCGGATGGGAAAAGATCGCAACTGGCTATCCAGGCAAGGGCCTTTTTGTTCATCCCAAGAAGTATATACGGTCCAGGTTCCAGGAGTGGTTAACCAGCAATTTTGGGAACCAGGAAATTTGGGAACCAGTATGAACAAGGGTATTTGCTTCCACCCTTAGACAATTTTCACCTATTGGTGGAAATGCGAAGGCTGACTATTGTATAGGTCCTTCTTTAGGAATCGGACCCCCCCAAAGAGGTGGGGTTCAACTTTTGGTTTTCCCTTTCAACATCCACCAAAAACGGGTGCCCTCAAAAAACACACACACACACCCATTCAAAGGCTGATTTTGTATGTCCATGTTTTTGGAGCGCATGGCCATTTTTGGATTTTGGGGGTCGAGGTTCCAGTGGAAGTGTACCCCTGTTACATACTTGGGCAAATAAACCCCTTCAAGGCCTGCCTGTGTGTCCGCAAAAGGAGCAAAAATACCCATAAAGCGGGTTGGGATTTCGAGGGGGAACCAAGGGGTAGGAACAAAGGTGATGTTTTCTTCCACCACCCGGAAACCAAACAAAAAAACGGATTCAAAGGCTGATGGCGCGTTCCTTCCGGGCCCTGGGGCTGATTTGACCATGCCAGAAACCTTTCGGTAAATTGACCCAGAAGCTGGGGCTTCATGCAGTAGCGGTTCGTACATGCTTGGGTGTTCGATTCGCCAAGTAAGTGGACAACGCCACCTGGGTTTTTTCACCCGGTTAACCCAGTGGCGTTGTCCACTTACTAACTTGGCGAATCGAACACCCAAGTATACATTCAGTCCTTGAGCGATCACCTTCTGAGGGCATGACGAAATATGGGAACCCAACATGAGACAACCAAATGGTCAACAGGTCGGTGTGGGCAACTGTGGTGATCGAATCGGAATCGGGGAGCGTTTGTTCTCCGGAGAATCAGAAGGTATAGGGCTCCCCATGGTCCAACAGGTCCACTTGGGGTGGAGGCTTTTCCTGTCCAAGGGTAGCCGCCATTTCTACGATCCAGCTCCCTCCTGACTTGGGAAATAGTATATGAGGTAGGAGCCCGGCAAGTTGGTGCCAATTGCACTGCATGACTTCTCTGCAGTGAGGCTCAAACCACGATTGAAACAAGGTGGGTTAATACAACAGCTATTATTTACCTAAGGAGTCATCATCCAAAATTGGGTCAACTATTCTTTTCATTGGGGACTGAAGGTATTTACTTGGTTCTTTGGTTCTTTTCATGTTGCGGCTGGTTTGCTCTTGGCATCCCTTTAACCCCATCCACAAAAAGGCACACGTAGGGCGTGGGAACTTTGGCGTCAATTTGGTGCTGCCTTCGTAAAAGGGCCCCAAGAACCCCAGCCCGTCAAATCTGAATCTACATGGATATTTAGGAAACCTCACCTCAGTGGTTTCTCGACGCCTTGCCATTTTTGTTTTTTTGGTGGGATACGTCATGTCATAAATCCCTACACTCACCGATTCACGGGACTGCCCAAGTCCGGAGTCCAAAGTGTTTTGCCACCACAATTATCTAAAACCAATAAGGCTGTGGGTCAAAAGCCCGTACCCCCAGTAAACATCCCAGTCCCCACTAAAATAGGTTCTAAAATGGGTAGTGAATTCACCTACCCCAAAATGGGAGCCCATTGGTTTTGACCCACAGCCATAAAGCTTAAAGTCCGGGGGTGGGGGAAGGGAGGTGGGGGGTGGGGGGTGGGGGGGGCATGTTACCGTCGTTATGAAAGGCTCGCACGCACAGGAACACATGAGTGCACACAGAGTGTATCTGGAAGTCCCTGGTAGGATTGTCTAGTGGGCAAAACCTTTTCTCTGCCTGCACGTGAATGGTATGTACAGTGGTATCAAAGAGTAGTAGAAGAGGGTCCTTGGGCCAAACGGTTGCATGGAGATCAACAAATCAAACACAGGGGAGGTCCCAAACCGGGGCACCTTATTTCGTGGGAACAGGTACCTTGTGGTAATGGTCCATTGTAGGTCCTGGATCTATTCCACACAATGATCCAATATGCCAATGGTGGGTGGCGTGTATCTGGAAGTCCCTAGTAGGATTGTCTTGTGGGTATAACCTGTAAAGCGGTCCGCAAGTAATCCCTTTTCTCTGCCTGTACGTGTACGGCATGCACAGCGGCAAGAAACAAAAGTAGAAGAGTAGAATTTGCTAGAAGGCCTCTGTGACGAGGGAAGCACGCAAACGACCCGCTTGCTTCATAGTGGGGACCCGATGTATAGACAAATGGTATCATTGCAAGACGATACGCCAAGTCAGCTGCAATAGCTACATGGGTCGCTTCTTTTGTAAGTACCAGCTTCAAAAACTATTTCTGCCGTGCGTTGGCTGCAGTTTGTTGGTGCAGATGTTCGAGTAATTGAGCTGCAAATATGCAAAACACATTGGGTTGTTGTACAATTTTGCATTAAAACAATGCTGTCCTAATTCTCCCGTTCACTGTCAATCATGCGCCAGAGATGACAAATTGCAAAAAAAACCAGGGGAAAACACGTGTGACATAGCTTCCGCCTCCAGGTTTTTTAACAGCCTGTGACCTTTTTGGAGGGTGCTTGGGAATTAAGACATGGACAAAGCAGTTGTTGGGGGGCGCAGGTTTCAGTCTTTGCTTCCATCTGTGCCATGTTGTTAGATACTGTTTCTTTGAGTTGCTGGTGCAGGTAGGGAATGAGAAATGGAATGAACCCAGGCATTCCCGAACAAAGGAAACCACCGCTTGTCTTTGTACACAAAATCAGGCAGTTTGCGGCGCCCGCTTGGGTTCCACTTCTCCGAGCCATTTGGTTTGGGCATCTCCTTTCTCGAGACGCCAAAACAACTCTCAACGAAAGTTCGAGGCTCAACCTTTAGATCCATCTGCTGAATCCCCCTGAGAAAACAACGAAACAAGGTATTGCCAGTTGTGAAATCGATTCCCTTTAAAACCAACAGGGTGGACATAAACAATCAAGTTGTGATAGACTCCCTTTAAAACCAACAGGGTGGAAATAACCAATATTCTTAAGGACATGGAAGACTATCTTAGCATGTTGCCCCCCAAACTGAGCCATGCTGTGGATGGACAAACTCCTGCACCACAATATCCCAAGTGGTGCAGGGTTTCGTCCACCCACAGTTGAGATTCTGGCAACCATAGTTGTCGATATATCATATCATATTAAGGCAGCAGCCCATTTTAACTGAACGGAATGGACAAGGAGGGTACTTGGGTGTTCGGCCAAGTTAGGAAGTAACTAGTCAACTAAATAACCTACTTACAACCAGGCCAGCTCCGCTTGTGGGACTTAGTAGGCTATAACCCCCGTTAAGAAACCATGGAAGGGTCTGGTTCCCTGCAAGTACCAACAAGCAGTGGTTTCAACCATGGTTTCTCAGGTGGTGCGAGAAGCGGATTTTGTCCATCCACAATATGATTTTCTGCTGTTGAGTCTTATCTCACGCAAAGGGAAATACGTATTGAACGTGGCCCCGTTGGCGAACATGGGCGCATAGACTCTCTGTGAATCGGTTGTGGGGGCTTACGAGGAGATGTTGGAGCCAAAGCAGAACTGCCATTTGCTTAAGCCGCCTGGAAGACATACAAATAATTCCAGTGACACAGGAACATAACACATATTCTAAAGGAAATGGAAGAGAAAGGACAACCCAAGGAATGACCATTTTTCTCACTTCCCATCGGGTGGATTTGCAGAACAACCAGTTCAAGCTTTTCAAGCTTGCCACTAAAATGGTCCAAAACCCAAAAAAGTCACTAAACTCCGAAACGGAACTCAGAACTGAGGGAGTGATATTCATTTCCCTTTCTCGCGGTTGTTGGCACCCAACCTAAACCTTTTCACTTTCGTTTTGGACCGCAACACCCGCAACAGCAGCTGAAGAGCAATTCCCCCCTCACTCCCCCCCCCCCCCCGCCCCTCGGTTTTCACGCCAACGCCAACGCCCCTGGGTTTCATGACGTTTTGGGTCGAAACCACAACTCACATCGAAACCTGACGCGTTCGACGGCGAGTGGCACGGATGGTGTCCACCAGACCCAGCAGCGAGGCTTCCACCTGAAGTAAAGCGACGGCTCAAGCGCCATTTGGGGGGGTGGATCAACACCTCCATTTGCTTATGTCCCCTGGAAAAAAATAAAAACATATTTCCAGCCGTGATAGATTCCCTTTAAAACCAACATGGGAAAACAGAAAAACAACCTTAACCAAATGGAAGAACAGGTCCCTCAATGACCATCAACCCGCCAAAAGGATTCAAGACAACATCCTCGTGGGAACCACACAATCACCATATCAAATCACCATGGCCAGTTGCCCTAAATGGAAAATGGCTCAACCCATATCACTTGCTTGGAGTTTTAAGGACAGGAGACCACAATCAACAAACACGGGGTCCATTTCTCCGTGTCTTGGATACTTATGAAGACCCAACTGACCCAACTTCCAAAAGCCCAGCCTTGAACAGGCCTTTCAATCCTACTTTTGACCACCTGACTGCGGGGTGTACCATTTAACAGAGGGTTCCGACTTCTAAAGCTCCCGCTTCTCCCTTTCTCCCCCCCAAACAAGCGCAAGAAACGGACTTGTTTGGGGCCAAACCATTTTCATGTTTCATCCCCAAAAGCCAAAAGCCGAAAAGCAAACATCAAGCTTCAGACCCTGCTTGGAGGTTCAACTCAGCGAGTGTAGCATTACAAGTGCGATTGCGCTTCGGTCCCTTCGTCACAAGCTACTGCCCTGAAAAGTGTCTGAAAATTTTTGGAGCTGTCTTCACGCTCCAATAAACCCCTCTTTCCAAATCCCGAAAGCATCCTCTAGAGCAACAAAGTTATCTGGGCGCTTAGTATAACCCACACGTTGGAAACAAGGAATCCCCAAGTAAGAAACCTTCATCATGCGTCTTCGCCTGTCATGCGCCCGAATCGGCAAGCTCGCGAACTAAACATGTGCAAAATGATCACAGCTGGGTGTGTCGTTCTTTGAGGGTAATTACCCTTTTTTGATGGTGTTTTCCTCCATTTGCTTAAGTCCAATGGACAAAAAAAAAACACATAGTAGTGATCGATTCCCTTTAAAACCAACAGGGGAAAATAACACATATTCTTAACCGAATGGAAGCTGAAGTGACAGCAACAGGAAAACCGCCCAGAAAACCAGGAGCCACCCTGCCGCAAAAAAAGAAACACCTCTTGCATGCCGATGCGGCTTGGACCTCAGGTACTGCTTTTCTTTGGATCTTTGGAATCAGAAGCTGGATGCTCAAAGCCAACCACCAAACCAAAAAACAAAAGTGCCTGATGTCAGTAACGTCCACTCCATAGGAAACAAAGCCCTTCGGCCTTGAACAAGGAGCATGTGCATGTGCATATCCCGTTTTACCCAAATGCAGCGCTAATCATTGCAACTTACGCACTGAGCGGGTTGATCGTCCAAGTAAGGGCTCGATGACCATTCCTATCAATCAGTAAACAACAAATGTGGCTTCTCCGCTGGAAAAAACATGGCTTCAAAGAGGCAACGTCCCAGTGAGTAGATGCCATGCATGTTGCAAGCAAGCTACAAACTACTGCTGACCCCAGAATTTTAGGGAGATTTCGGCGGAGTGAGGCGCCCACCCTTCAAACAAAACCAAAGAGGGGCTACCAATCAACTGGGTCAACACCCCGGATCGAGTCGCAAGAGACAAATGCAACCATCAGAGCCTCATGTGCCTTGAGTACGGCTGCTTCGTGAACTTCCGAGCACTTAACACTGAGCACTAAGGTGTTTTTGGTTTTGCGCTCTCGCGGGCTGAAATAAAGCGAGGACCTCTGCCTGCAGTTTCTCCTCGGGCACATCTTGGAACAAGAAAAGGCCTTGCTGCCACTGACGTCCTTGCTTGCAAGCGGTGATGGCCGAGTTGAGACTGATGACATCCGACTGCAACTCTGCCCGCAGCATGGCGCGGAACAGATCCAAGGCTTGTTGCCACTGCCCGCCCTTTGCACAAGCGCTGATGGCTGCGCTGAAGCTGATAACGTCTGCTACCACTTTCGCTTGAGGCATCGCTTGGAACAAGGCCAAGGCCTGTTGCCATTGCAATGCCTTCTCGCAAGCTGTGATCGCTGAACTAAAGCCGATGACATCGGTCCGCACCTCAGACACAATCATTTCCTGGAACAAGGCCAGGGCCTGCTGCCACTGCCAACCAGTTTCGCATGCACTGATCACCGCACTGAAGCTGATGACGTTTGGTTGCAGGCTCGCTTCATAGATGTCCTGAAACAAGGCCAGGGCCTGCTGCCACTGTCCACCCTTCTCGCATGCGCTGAGAACCGAGTTAAAGCTAATGACATTTTCTTGCACACTTGCCCCAGACATATCTTGAAATAAGGCAAAGGCCCGCTGCCACTGCCCGGCTTTCTCGCATGCGCTGATGGCCGTACTAAAGCTGAACACGTCGGCTTGCAACTCTGCTGTTTGCAATTTCTGGAACAAGGCCAGCGCTTGCTGCCACTGCGAACCTTTCTCACAAGCGCTGATCGTGCTGTTGAAACTGTAAATGTCCTGCTGCACGGCTTTGGAAGGCATTGCTGCAAAGAGATCACAGGCGCATCGCCAGAGTTTCCGCTTCGAGCATGTGGCAATCGCCACATTCAAGTCTCTGGTCTCCACAGGAAGATCAGAGTCCATGAACAGCCAGATGATACTCAGCAAGATATCGGCACTCTTCTCCAAACCCAGGATCTGTCTCAGTGGCAGGTTCTTCCAGCCTCTAGCTTCCAAAAACGCCTCTGGCCATTTCTTTGCCGGCAGATTCCGTTCGGGAATCCGGCGCGCGGAGAACGCGCGGAGTCGGGCCCTTTGACACCCAAGAGCAGAAGGATGCCGTACTTTCGAGTCGAGATCTAACGTGCACCACACCAGGCCATGTGCTAGGCAAGGATTGGTTGACGCATGGCAAATCATCTTGCAACCAAAGGCCATACACCCCCACCCCTCGGACATTGGGGTCCAGGATCCCTGACCCCAATCCTTCATCCGCAGTGGGACACCAACACAACAAGAGCAACCACTACAACCTTGTCTGAGGAGATGCGCATTCAAACATAAGTCCAAACCTGGAAACCACAAGTTTGGATCCCCAAGTACAAGACCATTCTGGGCTCGCGATGCGTGATCCGGCGCGCAGGGATGTGTAGGTGTTTTAGCTTCCATTGTCTCACTTCGTATTGTGGATGGACGAAATCCTGCATCAACCAATGAACCCTGGAAACATATGTTTTCCCCTGTAAATACCAACAAACAAGTTTTTTTTTTCTGGTTTGTTAAGAAGTGCAGGATTTCCACCCATGGTATGAGCAACAACAAACACCTCTTGTTCCCCAAAAGAGACATCTTGATGGAGGTATTGTTTTATCTTGTCGACGCAAATATGTTTGAAGGTTTCGCTTGTACTGTCATTACACAGGACGTTTCACCGGACATTGGTGTATATGACCTACAAGGCGTGAGAATTCAGGTGTGAAGGATTTACTTTAACTACCTTGAGGAGCAAGACGCCATGTCAGTCACCCACTGGAACTTTCAACATGGGCATTGTGGAAGATGCTTGCCCCTTTCAGCAGCACTTTGATAATCCTTCGAATCCAAAATGGGTGGTTTATGTTTGTTCCCTGTAAAGCAACCTCAAAGGGTAGCTTTCCCTTTAAACTGAACAGCGGGAACCCTGTGACCTGGCGTTCCCGAATCACTTGTGACCTGCACCCTGGATTGGTTTCCTAGAACCCTAGGTCCATAGCTAAAACTAGGTCTTTTCACCATGGCACATTTGGGTGTGGGTCAAAAAGAGGTACCCAAAAGGGAGCCCTGGTACATGGGAACAAGGACAACTGCGGTCCCCTGGTTCAAGTTTGACCTAGACCCATTCAGAATCCATCTCACTTCCTGGGTGGATGGCAAAGAAGTAGCCAAACTCATGCCACCAAAATGGTCCAAGCCCAAAACATTGCCTCCGAACCGCAACTTAGGAAGTGGGACTTGATCAATACTACATATAGGGCCCCCAGCTTTCCATGGTTAGACTATCAAATCTTAGTAGTTTCCAATGGTCATGCCATGCAGTCTGGACCTTTTGATCAACCCAAGCGAGGCATTCCCACAACCCCAGGCAAGATACCCTACAAATGCTTCGGCTTGGGATGCTCAGAAAACCCTGGGTCGAGAGGGGTTTGCGGCAGAGGGGTGTCTTTTTTGAGGCCATTTCCTCTTGGTTGCTGAAACGGCCCTTCTGCAAAAAATGAATAATTTGTTGCGGCAATTCCGCTGTTTCAAATTTAAGTTAAAGTCCAAAGATCCAAGCGCATAGCCACAAACTTTTGGGATTGTTCGGAGGGGAAACCTAAATCGACATCACCTGGGCTGTCCTCAGATTCCCTACTAAAAGTTAAACTTTTAGTGGGAAACATGGAAACTACCACTAAACTACAAAAAAAAATGGGGGGTCTGCCCACATGCAGGTTTGTATTGCCCTTGGACCATCCCCCTCGAAAACTCCAAATAATTGGGTATGTTTTAGGATGGCCCACCGATTCCCTTTGCACAATCCTTTGAACGCTTTCAAAAATTATCCTCAAAACAAACACACGCCCCCATTTGGGCGTCTCTGCTTTTGAGGGGCTGTTTGTTGGTGATGTGTTTAACAGAAAGCCAAAAGGAAAACCGCAATTTTCAGGGAGTCCGCGAAACAAAGACACGCCCAAATAGCAAGATTCTGCGCTGTGCAAACTGGGGGCGACCCCTAAATCTGCAATCTGCAGTGGCATAGGGTTAACCCCCCATCTGGCGTATAAAGAGTTCTTGTGTATTGACTCCCCCACAGGTTGTTTGTTTCTGACAGATGTACTCCCTTGAAAAACGCGGTAAAGGGCCACCCAAACCCGCCTTGGCGTCGTGGACGGAGTCCTCGTACCAGCCCTTGCGGAGCCAGATGCCCGCGCCGTCCCCGCGCTCCTTGTCGATGGGGCACTGAGGGGTGAGCAGTACGCACCTGGCAGGAAGCGGGCCCCATGAGCTGTTGGACCCCGGAGGTAAAACCCATGGGGAAACCAAAAGGAAAACCACCCGTCCAGGAGGAAAAGGGAGGGGCAAAAAGCCGAAAAATCATACCCCCAAAATCCGAGTCAGGGAAGATTACCATCAGCTTCCCTGTTACCATCAGCTTCCTTGTGATTGATGGGCGAAATTCGTTCGCACCACTTTAAAACCAGGGTTGAAACCAGGGAACAACATAGCGGTGGTTGGTATTTACGTTTCGGGAATGATCATTCCGTGGGGATTCCGTGGTGGTGCTTTTGTGTGATTCGTTTTGGTGTCAATACTGAGACACGTTTTGGTGTCAACCCCATGGAGCTTTGCTCACCTTGAGGTCTTCGCCAAATGCTTCTTTTGGTTGACTTGGCGTATCCGACGGTGGATGGTTGAAATCAAACTCCGCGAGTCTAGAAACCCGAGTGCAGAAAGTTCAAGCTCAAACCATGACGCGTCTTTGGTATGTCACGTTGGGGAATCAACTTATTCCAAGTAAAATCAATGTCAATGTCACTTCCCGGGTGGATGGCCAAGAAGTAAATAGTTTCATGCCACGAAGAAGGGGTTTCTTAGACGGTGGGTTGTTCCAGGGGCTAGGTCCTGCAGTAGAGAGGTTAGAATAAGGACACCCTGTTTTCTGTAGTCTATTTTAGTGGGGGAACCCTCCCCCCAAAAAAGGGGTGAGAAAGGGACTACTGGGGGACCTAGTTAAACTAATCTTGCCTTAAATAAATCCGTCCTAGAAGAGGGGTGTTACCCCTGCAAAAGTGAATGCTCACTAAAAAGGGACACTTTAGATTGAAATCAACCAGGGGCTGCAGAAATGTGGGGCTTCTCATGAACGTGAACTTGGAAGGTGGAAATCGAAAAGTGAAATGGGGGGGGTCTTCGTTTATGGACCCCGCTCCCTGCCTGGAATGGGTTGCCGAAACGGGAAGAAACAGAAGGATCGATTCGCTCCGAGCAGATGCTTGCTCACTTCCGTTTGCTTAAGACTGATACATTCTCTTTAAAATCAAGGAACACCCTTCTTGGTCTTCCAAGGACCCGCAAAACCAGGGTCCTTCTTGATTTTGATCTTGGCTCATGGAGATTCGGCCAAAGGCAACTGCTTTTCCAGGGTCCTGGAAGATCAAGGAAAACCCATAATTTTTCAGCAAATGAAAGGCTCAATGAAGGGTCTCTTGGGACATTCGGGTATCACATTGCACCGCAAACTGGAACCCACTGGCGGCGTAGCATGCATACTGGAGAGAAGTGGAGTTTGTTCGTCTGTTCAGAAAATCGGAATCCCAACATCCAGAGGAAATCCGGGGGAGTTCTGAAGGCGGGGCGTCTTGTTTTTTGTTTTTGTTTTTTTACTGGAACCTCCAAATTGATGGCTTTCCTTTTGGTTTCCCTTTAACCTCCCCCCCAAAAAAACCCAGAAAAACGGGTACCCTCCAAAACACGAGAGCCATGGATGGAATGCTTCCTCGCGGCTTCTGGGCTCCATCGCAACCTTTCTCACTTCCGATCGAGTGGTTCGTTTGCCTCTGGGAAGCTTCCAGAGATCCGAATCTTTTCAGACCATCACAAACCCAGGCTGGAAACAGCGAGCGATGTTTGAAAAGAGCCATGATCGAACCAAATGGGCCCTAAATCAATAGGTGACCTTTTGGAAGCATAGGCCGGGTAATAAATGGGGCAGAAACACCTATGGAATCCACCCCTGCTAAAATGGTCTCTCCAAGTTCAACGCCTTCTGAACTGCGACACGCACGCGGCGAGGCCCAGATCGAGAAGCCGTGTGCCTGTCTTTGAGCGCTGCAGGGCACAGCTCGGGTTCGTCCAGCAGTCTTACGGGAGTGTCGGACTCGAAGAAGAGATTGTTGTCTCCCTCCAGCCTGCCCTCACAGGCTCCGGCGCTGCGCCCGGTTCGCTTTCTTTCTTTTTGAGAGGTACCCTCTGTTGTTCCAGTTTTTGTGGTCCACGATCTTGAGAAACACGGAAACGGAAACCAACATGGCAGAGGACTTGTCCCTACCGCTTGGTTTTTCAAAAAGGAGAATGTCTCTGGGAACTTGAGGACTCGAACAAAGAAGAAATGCGGCGATATCTGCATTGCTCACAAAGAATCACCAACTCCCCAACTCACCAACTCACCAACCAAATAATTCACTATGCCACCAACCATCAAATGTTTTAAGGGGACGTCGACAAATAGAACTCTGCAAGGACTGCAATGCTGATCAGCCACCCAGAGGCGATGCTTAAATGCACACGCAGCGAACATCTAGGTAACGCCTGGAAAATGGATCGCAGCAGGGTCCCTAGGGGGGAGGGGGGGGTGAGTTAACCCCCATCCCCAATTCCATGTTCAAGGCCGGAGGAGTGAAACGCCTTCCTTGGCTTTTCGGATGGACTAGTCTAAGGGATGTGCTCATGTCCGGCGCAATCTAGGTAGTGTTGCCATTCTCAACTAGGTCCTCCAGTAGAGAGGATAGAATAAGGGTACCCACTTTTTTCTGTAGGCTATTTTAGTAGGGGAACCCTCCCCCGAAAAAGGGTAAAAGGGCACTACTGAAATACCTAGTAAAAAGTAACTACTGTGGACTGTGGATGGACGAAATCCAATTCGCGCTACCTAAGAAACCATGGTTGAAATCATTGTTTGTTGGTTTTCTCAAGGGAAACAAATCAGTCCAGGGTTTCTTAGGTGATGCGAAATTGACTTTTGTCATCCATCAGTGCCATTCTCAAAGTAACCCCCTGACAAATTGACGTGGAGTCCCCAACCAGTAGTCCCCCCAAAGAATCATGCCTCTAAACGTCGCGGGATCCGGATGCATTATACACCTGAACATTGCAACTTGTCTATTTGGAGGTGTCCAACTTTATTTTGGTGGTGAAAAAGCAACATGTTTCAAATGGTGGCAAAATGGAGATCTTTTAAGGAGCCCTCTAAACATCCTGCTATTCCGCTGCCGCTGGTTCCATGAGCAATTTGCAGGGCAGTATCTCTTGAAAGGAATCTAACTTCACCTAGCCCGAAACGGCAGCAACCACGAGGAGCAGGCGCAACACGCCTACTCGTTCAACGCCCCAACACCTTTCCACCCACAAGGCCAATTACCCCCCACCACAAAGCACTTGCTCATAAAAATCAAGACAAACCAGCCTCACTTCTGAGTGGACTGGCCAAAACAAGCTATTCTTTGGTGCTTTCCACTCAAATTCCAGGAACTCAAAATACGGAGATCCATCCTTTTGGTTTTCAGAACGAACAGAACCAACAACATCAAAAACTTGCTGATATAATCAAATGGAGATAGAACAACACAACAGAACCAAATGCAAACAACTAAACAGAACCCTGAACAGAACCAAACACACAGTGAACAAGTGAAGAGCACGCACCCAACTGGTCGAACTTCCTGCAAGGATTGGCCAACAAAATGGTCGAACTTTAAAATAACAAGTGACTCAACTCCCAAACGGAGCTCGATTGGGAGTGAGATCATGCCGAGAAGCCCCAAAAGGGTGCCCCTGGACCGAAAGGACGCCGAGTCCAGGCACTCGGAACCCAACACCACCCTCCCATAGCCTCCACCTCCTCCACCCCCTCCACCCCCCGCCCACCCACAGCCTCCACTGCCTCCACCTCCACCTTCCTCCCACCCACCTCCTCCACCTCCACCTCCTCCACCCTCCACCCCCAGCCCCAGTCGAGTCGCATGCATGGAGTGCAGAAAGAGTACCAGCGGCCAGCGCTCCGAGAAGTCGAAGGAGGGCGGCAGGTACCTCAGGCAGCGACCGTTCCGCCCCGGAACCCGAGCCGATCGGGGTTGAGTTCCGCTTCTGAGGGGAGAGGGGGGGTGAGGGGGGGAGGAGGGGGGGAGGAGGGGGGAGGAGGGGGGGAGGAGAGGGGGGAGGGGGGAGGGGAGAGAGAAGGGAAACTGCACTTGTCGTTCTTTTCTCCTTTCTGTTTCATATTCTTGTTGGGGGGGAGGGAGGGGACATTTTGTTTTGAGGGGGGAGCTTGTAGCTATGTCTTTTCGGGGGTGGGGTGGGGGGGAATGGACCCTTGCTGCAACAACCTTTTGTCACTTTTGGAAGATCCGGGCCTCGTTCAGAAGTTAAAGTCCAAAGATCCAACCAAACAGCCAGAAAGTAAACATGGTGAAGACACCTAGCTACGTTGGGAACTTACTGGGCGGAAATGACTGGTATTGGGGAAACCGGGAAACCCCGCTGTTAATGCTGACCCCAGATCCAATTGGAACCCTTCTTAGGGGGTGGGCCCCTCTAGGGATGAAACCCCACTAAACCGGGGACACCCCCGCCCCCAATCTTCAACAGGCGGTTTGTTTGTCTCCGGGGTTCCCATGACAAACTCCCCCTTTTAATTTTGACCATGAGCCATGCAGGCCTCAGCACAAATGGAGGTTTCAACCTCCTTGGGTGTTCGGCCAAGTTAGTAAGTGGTTAGCCACCTGGGTTATAACCCACAAATGAATGGGTGGGCTAACCCCACTGCAAGTGGGTTATAACCCAGGTGGCTAACCACTTACTAACTTGGCCGAACATCCAAGTCCCAAACACAAGCACACAGGAGCAAAATTCGAGCTTGAGTCCCGCAAAGCCCGGGCTGGAAGACTGGAGGCAGAGATAGCTTCCCCATCTGTGTCATGGGGAACTGGGGTCCAAATCCCCAAATCACCATCCGAACCACCAGGCAAACCTGACACGTATTTGTTCTCACCCGCCAAGACCCTTGAAGGGCAAATATTATATTTGTGCCTTGGGGGTTTCGCATCGCTCGCTTGTGACCATTAGATCCCTTGCCAAACAATGGTTGCAACCTAAGCCGATTTCGGCAACAAACCGAAGGACATGTTCACCAAAAGCAAAAAGAACAAACAGAAACAACAAACACCGCCAAAAACAATGACGCACTCAAAACCAGACATGCTTTTCGGGGCTCAGAGTCACTTAGTTGCCATTTGAATCCGACCGGAAGGAGTACGGCAAGGAAACACATGCAATACGCGGATTCCCTGATTCGGGGTTGTTTTAAAGGGCATGACTAGGGAGGGGCGGTTCTTCCTGAAAGAAGCAAACTATTTGGGGAGACCTCTTATGTCGAAAAGGTCAAATTTGGGCCCTCCGATTTTAAATGAAACAATTGCCCGGGCTGTTTACATGTGGGCCCTGGCAAATGAAGTAAACGCCAACCTAAGCCAGCGGAACCCATCTATGTCTAGCCAACCCCTAGATCATTTCCTGAGTTGATTAGCCAAGCAAGTCCAACATTTTCCAGCTTACCACTAAACTGGTCCAAGCAACTAAGGCACAAACTTCGGCCGTCCATTTCCGCCTGCCTCTCCGCCTTGCCGCCTTGCCGCCTTTCCGCCCCTCATTTTCGTTTCTTCGCCTTTGCATCTTTTGCTAGGTCCTCCAGTAGAGAGGTCAGAATAAGTTGGCACCAACTTTGTTCTGTCTTTTTTAGTAGGGGAACCCTCCCAACCAAAACAGTTGCTAATCATTTCTCGCATCCCATCGATTGGGATTTTTGTGTGCCACTAAGGGAATCTCTCATACCCGTTGGCCCGGGCTTCGATCGATTCGCCACACAAGTTGGCATCTGGACCGATTCGCCTCATGCCGGTCGAAATGGGGCGACACCTTCTTGAGTTTGGTTTGAAGGCAAAGCCACTGCTCACAGGGAGAAGAAAAAAAGGGAAAGGAACCCAAAGGAACCCCAAAGGAAAGGGGGAACGACACAACCAACAAACAAACAAACAAACAAACAAGCCTTTACTTCGGGTAATGACCGACCAAGGGTCCTTAGGGAGACTCCAGGAAAAAAAGGGCCCCTAGCTCTTTCGCGGTCCGCGGGGCAGGCAGCAGTTCAGCGGCGTGGGGCCGTCGAAGGTGAAGCAGCGCTGCGTGCCCGGCGCGTGCGCGAGCTGCGCGAGCCGCGCTCCGCTCGCCGCGGGGCCCAGGACGAGGTCCTGGCGGCGACCAACACCGCGGCTGTGGCAATCCAAATGGAGGAAAACAACGACTGATGCAGAGAATCCATTTCGCACCACCTAAGAAAACATGGGAAACAGTATTTCAGGGAATCATGAACAACTACTTGGTTGACGTGGAAAGGGGAGCAACATTTTTTCTTTTTAAGTAGCAGTTAAGTGGTTGGATGGATCAACTACTGTGGATGCACAGAATCCATTTCGCACCTAAGAAAACAAACAGTATTTCAGGGAATCATCAACAGCCGGGGGTTTCTTAGGCGGTGCAGGATTTCGTCCATCCACAGTAGGGGCGAACCACGGGTTTTAGTCTTTGGTGTCATTTACCTTTTGGTGCCAAATTTTGGGTGCAGTTTGTTTTGAGCCACAGCCACTTCCAATCAAGATGGGAACCAAAAACGCACCTGGGCCCGCAAGAACTGCACTTGAACACCGGGATTTCACCAATCACCCCCTTCAGCTGGCTGTGCCCGACTCCAACATTCTTCACGTTGACCCTGTTGACCCATTCATGGGTGCAAACAAGTGGGGCCAAGGGGGTGAAATACACAAAAAAATGACTATCATGTGATACAAACATGTTAGTCATGTTAGGAGCCCCGATTCTATCGCCCTGATGCAGTTGTTCAGCATTCACCATTCGCAGAGTGTCAGCTTACTCAGAATGTCTTGGCAGCGATACAACATTGTTCAAGCACATGTGATGCTGGACATGCTTTGAGGCTGGAAGTCCATACACACCGCATGGACGGATTCAACATATCTGTGTCCGTATCAGTTTTCTTCAACTCCAACAAAATAACATTTGAATTATAGCCTAAGTCCTTGCTATATGTTTCACTGATTTGTTCAGGCCACTTCGGCATGAATTTGATCAGGGACCCTTTGGTGGTGCGTGCTGCATGTTGAGGTGGTTCGAACTCTTAATCATAGCCACTTGGATGGTACCTGGATCAGCGTCGCCTCGAATTGCTGGTTTGGGTTGGTTTGGAAGCACACACCGCCACTTGGGTGCGTTTTGATTAGATGACCAACCCACTTTGAACAATTGCAACTTGATGTTAACGCGATAAATGTTGCTGTTGCGCCCGTATGCTGTGATTGCCCAACAAGTTGTGCTCCTGTGTTGGGGCGTAATATCCCCCTCAATAAATGAAAGAAGTTCATCGGTGAGCTTGCAAACCAACACCTTTCTGAGGTGTCCCTTAGTTTTAAATCCATTGAATATCAAGCCACTCACAGGAAACTCACTTGAACGCCACCAAAAGGTGATGTTTCGACCCGACCTTTTCGCGTACATTTGGGAAAATAGAACCAATCGGTGGGCAGCACAAACGCCACAGTCAAGAAAAGGGCTGCGTCTGTTTTCTCCTCCCCTCCCCTCACATCAGAATCGAGTACCTGGACCCTCAAACTACCCATAAAAATGGGTTTGACCCCCAAATTTATGGGGTGATATCCCATTTTTAAGGGGATTTTTTGAGGGTCCAGGTAGATTGGCAGAAAACAATTGCTAAACTGGTTGCTTGCCACGGTGCTCCAAGCCCTCAAGTTTAACCGTCAGCCAAGCTGCCCCCTCAGACCGGAAAGTGAACCAAAGAAACTCCATCGTTCTTGAGTCCCACGTGGCCCCGCCTCCCCCCCCCTCGAAACCCCCTCCCTTCCCTGCCTTCCCTCCCCCCCCCACCTCCTCCCCCGCCCCCTGAGTGCGCCTTCCCCCCCCCCCCCAGCCCACCACTCCCCACCTGCCCCCCGCCCCACCTCCCCCCCCCCCGAGCGCGCGGACCGATCCTCTCGCCAGCGCCAGGCCGTCGGCACCGAACTCCCCGGACGCGAACTCGAGGCCGAGGGACGGCAGTGCTGGGCGGTGAGGAAGATCTCCAAGACCCCGCGCCTTGGAAGGACTTGGCTGTTTGTGAAAAACAAATGGTGCTGAAAATGGCTTAGCCTGGGAAATGGACAGACTAAAAATAATATGCGGTTGTCTGGTGGTTGAATTTTGACCCATACCCAAATGGCTGTGGGTGAAAACCCAAAAAACACCTGGTGAACATCAAAATAGGCGGCAAATATGGATGTTCCACCCCAAAATGGAGCCATAGGTTGTGCCACATGGCCACTTGTGGATTTCCTCGGAAGCATAGGTGTCCTTTTAGGGGAAATAGATGGCCCTGGATGATGAAACCACCAGGCAAACCAGGAATCGCCATCTATTTTTCTACCAAAACAACCAAAAAGGTCACCTATGCTCGGAAGGATTTGTCGGTACTCCCTGGGCAGGTAGGGCTCCCAGATACTTAGGGAGCTTTTTGGTTTTGGGAGCTCTACGTGGAGTCTCCATGACCCCTTGAAAAATGGGTCCATGACCCCTTAAATTTGGGTAATGAAACCATTTTTAAAGGGTCATGGAGGCAACAGGTATGGATTTGTCAGAAGCTTTGTTGGTTAGCTCTGAAGATGTTTTTCCGGTTTCAGGACCAACGCATCGTGAGCTCGGCAGGTCGAGTCGAGTGGATCGGCCGTAACACATCTGCCCCCAAGCAGTCTGTTTCACCACATGGTCAAAGTCCAGGCACTCAGGAAGTGAGGCTTGGGGTAAAGCTGGCGTTCCCATCAATCAATTGCTATCATTCGAGGAACTCTAATAGTTTCCGTTGACACTCAGCTCCAATTTGAAACCATGGCTGAAACCATAGTTTGTTGGTATTTACAGGAGAATCATCAGAAACCAGGGTTTCTTAGGTGGTGCAGGGTTTTGTCCATCCACAGTAGGGCGTAGCAGGGTTCGTTGTTTTTGTTTTTTCCCCTTCTGTTTTTTTTCTTCTGGGGTTCATTTTCTGCCATCATGGCTGGTCTTTGGTGTGCCCAAACTCCCCTCACACCTTGTTGAAACAACTGGCCTTTCCATTCAACCTACAAAAGGATTGACCTCAGGCTGTAAACAGCAACCCAGCAATGATCTGCTAGTGTTGGGTTTTGAGCTCACCGAATGGTAAAACAATCGAAAACCCCATGACGTAGGTTAGAAATGCAGAGTGTTGGAGGGACACTAGGCCTTTTTACCCCTGCAGACAGGTTCTGACAGCTCAACTGTCCCCCTTCTGAGAATCTATTCCTGGCGTTCTGTGATACAGGCGGAACCACCCCACTAGGAAACACATGCAATGCTTGCACTGTGGCGAGGGAAAGGTATTGTGGTGACAGATGGTTGGCGTGAAAGCAGGGATTTGGACACCTGCATGATTATAATCCCTTACCCAGGTCCCCCAGCTAGGTGCCCTTTTAACGTTTCTTTTTTGGGGGGAACCCCCTAACATAGCCGAAGGAAAAAAACAACTGGTACCCTTATTCTATCCTCTCTACTGGAGGACCTAAACAACTTCGGCATGCCTCAAGTCCAGTGGATGAATTCATCTTAGTGCAGAAAGTTTAGCTGGCGGCCTTCTGCTCATCGCTTTTTTCTTGTTTTCTGTGTTTTTATAGTTTGTTTCTTTCTCTTTTTTTGGCGTGTGATTGTTTTTTGGCCATATCGTTTGTGAGCTAAGATGGAACCAAGGGTGTCCTTCTTGAGAGGTTTGTGGTTGGATCCTCACCTAAACATTGGAAGTGACAGGGTGACCTCTGGAGATTCGTTTCCTTTTTCGCTTTGGAGGGGGCAGGGTGGGTGTTGTTCACAGGAAGGGGCAGCCCAGAGGGTGCCGTGGTGCTGTGCGTGGTTGCGAAGTCCATGTCAGACCACCGTTCAGAACCTGGAATGATGTGATTCCCCTGCAACAAAAACAAAACGAGCAAACAATGATCCAAGGGACGCTCTTGGCAGCAAGAGTTGGAACCAAGACTTCATTTTCCTCTTGGGGCCCCTACTTGAGTCTCTTTTACCAGCTGTGGATCGGGTGGCAAGAAGCGGCTTTCACCAACCAGGAGGTGAAAGAAATCCATCAACTTGCTGCCCCAGCTGCCCTTTTTGGGGGAAACCCTGTTGGAAGTTCCACCTGGTTACTGGCGGCCTTCTCATTTTTCGGGCTCCTCTGCTTGGTTCTGGTGGCTTGCGGTTCCCCAAGCTTGGTCTCCAGCGTATAACCTACTCTGAGTCGTGGAAATGGCCCATGTTCTGACCTGAAGTCTGCCTAAGGACCCTTTAAAAATGGTTGGTCATTACCCAAAACAAAGGGGCCATGGACCCATTGCTATTTCGGGTCAGAAGGAGACTCCAGGCACTTACTTAAAAAAGTGTCTCTGACCCCTCAAGGGCCCTCAACAACAACCCATTGGGAGGGCCAAACAGTCCGGACCCTCAGGGTGATAGAAGGATAGATTTGGATCTTTGGTTTTCCAACCAATGGCTATCCCATGTACTTCGGACATGATCACCCCCACTGTAGCCCACTCCAAGCTTACTCGCGGCAGACTCAAAGGTATCCCCAGCAAAACTGAGCCAAACCCACGCAGTTTGAGGCTCAATACCCTCCAACAAACATGGATGCGCAAAGATCGCTGGAGAAGGGCAGCTCCCATTTTGTTGAAGTAAAGTGCTTGGTCTGCTTATCTTTGCTAAAAGCACCCCCCCCCACTCACCAAAAAAAGAAAGACTCAGGAAGCCAAGTAAAGCCGTCCCGCTACTTCTGAGCGACGCGGGAGCGTAGACCACATGCTCCGCGCTCCAGGTGAATTGCCTCACGCCATTCGGGCCATTCGCATAGCGAGCGATGGTTTCCACCAACCTCACCCAGTGGATCCCCATTACGCTCGAGGTGCGTAACCAGCCTTTTGGTTTTAAACGGATACCCAGTATACAAATAAATGGATCCACTAACCCCAAACCGGGACCCAGGAAAAAAAACCATTGGTGGCTATATTGTACCTGTATACCGCATAAGACCCCTGCGACCCGGTAGTGATTCGGGGAGAAAACAACATCTTGGAGCATAGTCACTTCAATGGACCGAACCCCCATGAACCATCCCTTCATTCCTTCCATAGAGATCTTCAGCTCACTTGCCCTTGAAAAACCTGAAAATGAATTGTGATCACCACCGAGCCCCTATGAACCATCCCTTCGGGGCACAGGATCATTAGCTCACTCGCCCCTGAAAAACCTGAAACACCTGAAAAACCTGAAGGCGATCAGCTTTTGCGACCTTGACGAATGCACCGAAGGAAAGCCAACGGGTTAGATCCGGTCGACTCGCTCGATTCGCTTTGCAACCAGAGACTGACACCCGGCGGGGCCTGGCCGTGAAATTGGCAGAAGGATGCACAGGGGCAAAAAAGGTTTGCAGTGCCAAGGACCTGGAAAGAAAAGCGCGATCTTGTGGGTCCACTAGCACTGGTTGCCAGAAAGGGGAAACTAAAAGTCGTCACATCTGGTCGGAATTGGTTGCAAGTGATTTATACCTGAACCCTCAAACTGCCCTTGAGAATGGCTTATCCAAAATTATGGGATGTTTTACCTTTTAAGAGTACGTAGTCATCCGGAAGTGATTTCTAACTGGACTCTCCAACTACCCTTGCAGAATTACTTATTGCAGTCCAAATTCAAGGGGTGTTTTCCGTTTTAAGAGTACGTAGCTTGAGGCTCCAGGCTTCAGTCCGGCAATGTCTCAGCGGAAGAAACAAATCGGGCCGTGAGCCCGATCCCACCGGCCAGGGTGCTGCTGAATGAGGAGGGTGGTGATCGACCTATTGTAGCTTTCATGGAACAGCCATCTGTGGCTCAAAGTTAAACAGGAGGGGGCAAACCGCAGGTTTTGGTCCAGGTGTCCACTTACCAGGGCAAGCCATTTTGGTACCGGTTTTTTGAGCCACAGCCATCTGTGAAACCAACGAAAAAGCCATGTTGTTGGGTGGCTTCCCCACTACTCAAGCACCAACACAACCTCTTTTGGTCTCTCCCTCTGTTTTTCAGGAAGGGGGTCACGTGTGAGTAAAATGGGAAGCCCAAAGCGGGTTTGGCACCCCCTAATTGGTTGGTTTCTTTTGATTTCTCGGATTCGCCAAACAAGTCTCCAAATCTTTGGCTTACCACTAAAATGGTCCAAGCCCAAAAAGTACGAAGACCAGGAACTCAGGAAGTAAGGCACATACACACATACTTCCATTTGGTCAAGACCCCTGCAACAAATAGTTCCAGTAGTGATAAATTCCTTTTGAAACCAACAAGGGAAAATACCAAAAGGTGTTCTTAAGCAAATGGAAACATACCCTCAACAAACAAATCAACTTTCTCACAACTCGATGGTCGCTTTGCGCGCCTGGCTTCGTGCATCTCCCAGCGGCGCCAGCCCTGCAATAGCCCAGGGTGGCTCTCTGACTGGTCCACCCGAACCTCAAATTAATCCGGCGTCCCGGAGCGAGCGGGGTGGGGGGTGGTGGGGCCTAGGCGTGTTGGTGCATGGAGAATGACAACGAGGTGGGGGGGGGGGTGGGGGTGGGGCCCAAGCTTGTTGGTGCGCAGGTACTTGGGTGTTCGCCCAAGATAGTAAGTGGCTGGCCACCTGGGTTATAACCCACAAATGACTGGGTTAACCCCACTATAAGTGGGTTACAACCCAGGTGGCGAAGTCCACTTACTACCTGGGCCGAAAACCCGGGCGTTGGGAATGACAACGAGTCCGGGCGTTGGGAATGAAGTGGGTTCCGGGCGTTGGTTTCCCAAAACCTGAAAGGTTTGGCACCGACAAACAACGCAAAGACGAATTCATCTGATATCTTATCATATAGTCCCTGCACACCCACAACTTGAACGGAGAGAACCATAAAAACATGGCCAACAGAGCGAGTGAGTCGCAACTAAAACCTGGTACTAAAATGGTCTACCCAGAACCATGTACAGGATGAAGAAGGCGGCGTCCCTTACTAACCTTCATCTACCCAGGTTTTGATTGTGGCTCGAGTGGGCCTTACACATGGCCGTGGAAAAAAGGGCATAGGCCCCCCCTCTGCCCCCCCCAAAGCTCGAAGCTCAAAGCCCGAAGATCCGAGCACTGGAACAAGTGCCAACACCCGACAAACCCGATGGCTGCGGAGCTTCATAGCTTGGTGGGCATCATTTCGGTGACGAACCCAAAAAACGTCCGACCACTTTTGAGGTGGATCCCAACTCTCATCGCTCTTTTCATACGCCCATTCGATATGTGCCTTTTTGATGGATCCAAAAATTGTTTGCCTCTGCGAGTTCATGTAAATGAGAGTTTGGAGACCATGCTGAGGTGGATGCAAACTCTCTTGGGCTTCTCTTTGGATCCCAGAAAGGGGACTCAAAACAACAACCGGAACAGCCTAAATGCCAGACATGCAGACAGAAAGCCCGACAGACAGACAGAAAGGCAGACAGGCAGACAAACAGACCAAACAGACAATCTAGTTCTAGCGCGGCCTTACCGGTATATAGAGAGGAAGGCCACGCACGCCCGCACGTGTAATATATTTTGCGCTGCCTCGGCCTGTTTGGTTCTTTCGGCCTCACTCGAAACCCTCGGTCGAAACTCGGATCCGAATGCGCACTCGAAACTCGAATCTGAAACGCTCCTGAACGCTCCTGAACACTCGAAACCGGGATCTGAGACGACCTAACCAATTCAACCTGCGTTAAAATTTGGTCCCCAGATGACCGGCAGATTCCAACCCCGACTCTCCACACTCGAGACCCTCGCAGACTCGCAGACTCGGCGTTGAATCGGTGTTGGAGACCCTTGCAATGGATCCCGGAGTCAGTCCCTTGAACCCAAGAGGGGCCCATTGGCTGAGCTTCCTGGGAAAAAATGTACAAATATGTCCAAGTAGTGGTGGATTCCCTCTAAAACCAAGAGGGGGAAATAAGAAATCTATTTCTTTAACCTTCAGGGAAGTAGATGGACCCACAAAATAACAACAGACCCATGTACTTCTTCAGAGTCGACCGCTTCTCATGGCACCCCCTATCTGCTCTGAGTTCATGTCGCTTTGTCATGTATTGGGGAACCCCATGTTTGGTGGGTTTACAGGGAAACCAGCAGGACCTCCCACTCATTTTGAAGGTTCCGATGCCTAAAACAAGACACAAAAACGTACGGGTGTGCCGCGGAACCCTGAAAAATGGCATGGTTTTCCCTTCACTTTGCCTTCAAACAGCTGTAAGGTAGCCTCAAAAACGCCAAGGGGCTCCGAGCCCATGGATTGCAGAATGGAAGGGTCCCAAGAAACTCCCCGTCTTTCCTCGGTTGCTTTCTGCTCCCCTGCTAAAAGTTTAACTTTTAGTGGTTTAATGGAAAACCCATTCGTTGGCAAAAAGTTAAAGTCCTAACATCCAAGCAAAATGCAAAGTTTCGGTCCGGAACCTCCCTTTGATACATGCGCCCGACGATTTTTAATTAGCGGCAACCCACGGGAGGCGCGCTCGTCATTTTTTGGAATGAGGACCCCTCCAAGTGGAGCGTCAGGTTTCCTTTTTGGTTTCCGTTTAAGACACCAAACAAGGGTACCACCACCAAAAAGGACAATAAACATACCCAATGTCAACTTCCAAGGGAGCAACAAACAGGGATTGCTCCATTTCCCATTTCGGAACCTCCGAAAGTGGCAGCGAGACCCGTTTTCTTGCAACTCGGTCCTCCAGTAGTTGGCGGTTGGAATCAGTTGGTACCAACTTCTTTCTGTCTATCTTAGTAGGGGAACCGAATCTCCCAACCAAAAAAGACACGGTACAAGTTGGCACCAATCTCTGGGGGACCTACTGTTGATGGACAAAATCCTGCGCCACTTAAGAATCCCTGGAATGATGATTATCCTGTGAATACCAACAAACTACGGTTTCAGCCATGGTTTCAAAGTGGTGCAGGACTTCGTCCATCCACAGTAGTCAACTTTTGAAGGGGAAGCGAGGTGACTCCTACGAGATGCCGCCGCGGCGCCAAGCAAAAGCGCAACTCCTTGCAGGGCGGCGCTGGCACTAAGAAGCTCTTCCAGCCTCGCGCCGGCGAAGTGGATCGAAACAAACAAAAATGGGCGGATTTTTCTTTTTCCCGAAAGCATGGCGAAGGGTTCTTCCGCTGGGTTCACTTGAGTTGTTCTCATGAGAGTCATTACAAGGTGTCATTGCAAGGAATCATCATCATGAAAGTCATTGCAAGGAGTCATTGCAAGGAGTCATTGCAAGGAGTCATTGCAAGGAGTCATTCATTGCAAGGAGTCATTGCAAGGAGTCATTGCAAGGAGTCATTCATTGCAAGGAGTCATTGCAAGGAGTCATTGCAAGGAGTCATTGGAGTCATTGCAAGGAGTCATTGCAAGGAGTCATTGCAAGGAGTCATTGCAAGGAGTCATTGCAAGGAGTCATTCATTGCAAGGAGTCATTGCAAGGAGTCATTGCAAGGAGTCATTGCAAGGAGTCATTGCAAGGAGTCATTGCAAGGAGTCATTGCAAGGAGTCATGGCAAGGATTGCAACTTGCACTTGACTCCTTGCACTTGCAACTTGCACTTGACTCCTTGCACTTGCAACTTGCACTTGACTCCTTGCACTTGCAACTTGCACTTGGCTCCTTGCACTTGCACTTACTTGCACTTGCACTTGCCTTGCATGCACTTGGCTCCTTGCAACTTGACTCCTGACTGCAATGACTCCTTGCAATGACTCCTTGCAATGACTCCTTGCAATGACTCCTTGCAATGACTTTGCAATGACTCCTTGCAATGACTCCTTGCAATGACTCCTTGCAATGACTCCTTGCAATGACTCCTTGCAAGCTCCTTGAAACAAGCAAGGAGTCAAGTGCAAGTTGCAAGTGCAAGTGCAATTGACTTGCGAGGAGTTAAAATCTCTTCTTAGGGCGGCGGGGTAGTGCCGACGACACTACACGAAAATCGACCCTCTGGGGATCGGCGTGGTCGAGGTGCAAAAACCCATGGTTTTTTGCGATTTCTAAAGTTCCCGCGCGACCCTCTGCGGGGATCGGCGTGGTCGAGGTGCAAAAACCCATGGTTTTTTGCGATTTCTAAAGTTCCCGCGCGACCCTCTGCGGGGATCGGCGTGGTCGAGGTGCAAAAACTTTTTTGCGAGCGCGCTCGCGCCCTCTGCGGGGATCGGCGTGGTCGAGGTGCAAAAACCCATGGTTTTTTGCGATTTCTGCGGTGCTCGCGCGACCCTCTGCGGGGATCGGCGTGGTCGAGGTGCAAAAACCCAGGTTTTTTGCGATTTCTGCGGTGCTCGCGCAACCCTCTGCGGGAATCGGCGTGGTCGAGGTGCAAAAACTCGAGGTTTTTGCGACTTTTGTTGTTCGAACTGGTCCTCGGGAGTTGTCTCGTGGTTCGCGCGCTGCTCCCGGAACCGGCGGGTCGCGGGTTCGATTCCTCCCTGGTCCGCGGGCGGGCGTCGCAAGATGCAACTTGCATTTTAAAGCAACTTGCGCAGAGCAACTTGCGCAGAGCAAGTTGCACAGAGCAACTTGCGCAGACCAACTTGCACCGACCAGTTTGCGCAGAGCGCCTTGCCTAGAGCAACTTGCGCAGAGCAACTTACGCAGAGCAACTTGCACAGAGCAACTTGCACAGAGCAGCTTGCACAGAGCAACTTGCAGGGAGCGCAATTTGCACAGAGCAACTTGCAGGGAGCCACTTGCAGGGACCAACTTGCCGGAGCAACTTGCGCGGAGCAACTTGCGCAGAGCAACTTGCACAGTGCAACTTGCGTAGAGCAACTTGCGCAGACCAACTTGCACCGACCAGTTTGCGCAGAGCACCTTGCCTGGTGCTGTCTCGCGCTTGCTTCACGAATGCTTCGTGTAGGGAAAAAGAACGCATCCTGCAGCGTTGGGCCGACCTCGCTTGCGATGTTCTGCTTTCGGGCCAACCGTGGTCTAGTTGTAAAGGGACCTCCGAGAAAAAAATAAAGAAAAAAAACGCCGGAGCTTCCCAACAAAACTTGCCCCGGAACAGAGGGACCTGCAAGGCTCTTTGGCGCTGAAATAGCAACCATTGCGCGGAGACGGGAAGAAACAACCCCAGCCCTTGCCCCAACCCGGCTCAGACCCCGATCGATTTCTCACGCCATCATTGGCTTTAGCCCAATCTAGTTGAAATAAAAACGGTCTTCGGTGGAGAAATTGTTGCAAGCACTACATGTGATGAGCCATCTGCGCAATTTACTATTCCCAAATTGAGCTTTTCTGCGAAGCGCTAGTAAAAGCCCTTAGTGGGTGAACTCGTTTTGGCTCTGTGAGCTTGCTGTAGATTGCAACCAACATACCTGCCAGCCTAGGTCACACCAAGAGGGGTCGCAAATTTGACCCTCATGACCTGCGCTCTTGCCCCCGGCCAAATAAATATATTTTGATTCCGTCGATACTTTTAATGAAGCTACTTTCAACGAAGATCCCGGATCTCATGATGGTTGTCCATCTCAATTCCCCAGAGAACCAACTACAATTTTAGAACCTGGACTAAATGTGGGCAAATTCAGGAAAACCAAAAGGTCAAAAAGGTCGATCCGCTTTGGGAAAGCGACTTATATCATCTTATATACCCCATGTTCCCCTAGATGGACTCAGGTTTTAGTCTACTTTTCCATTTACGTGTTGGTTCCATTTTCGGCCCCGAATTTTGGGCCACGCCCACCCCGTGTTACCCAAATGGGTGGCGTTTGTGTGAAAAAACGGGCTCCAGCCAGCCAGTACGAGCTCCGAGTACGTGAAGCTGCTGCACCGAGTTGCCGTCGCCCTCCCAAATCAGGTCGACGCCCAGGTTGGGATCCTCGGAGAAACTTCAGCCCGGGTGTGTCTTATGTCAAGCTTGGACCCCTCCAAAAGCCCGCAATGGTGCTCCTTTGCGCTTCCCTTCAAAGAGACAACAAAAAACGGGCACCCCCCCCCCAAAAAAAAAACACAAAAAAAACGCCCCCTCCCCCGCTAAAAAAAAACGGGGAAAAAACAACGACCCAACTGGCTGTGGGAAAAAGTATTCAGCGTTATGATTGCCCAGCAGGACATCTCCACTTCATCACTGAACACAAAGATTCCCGGAGACCCAAACATGAGAGAGTGGCGACCCAAAAACCATGAGAAAGAGAAGCACAAGGAATCACGCCCCGCAATCCTGGCATCGCAGGACAGGAGTCGCTGGATTCCCTCTTCAAAAGTTGCAGCTTGCTGGTGGGTTTCATGGAAAAAGGAAATTGAGGGACCCCTGCCGGAGTTGTCCCGTTGGCTTTTCCCATTGGCCATGCTTTCCCACAAAGAGGAAAGTGAGGGCAAACACGCCACGTTGGGCCATGGAAGGTTCCAGGTTTGGGTCTCAAGAGAAAGTTCGGCGGTTTCCCTGCACAGCCAAAGGCACCAACGGGACACGCCCCATATGGATGTGTCTCAACGTGTACTGGTGGATTACTTTGGTTTCGCTTCAACCAACTAAATGACTAAAAGGGCATCCCTGAATGGGCTGTGGCACTTGATGAGACCCAAATAAGGGGAAGCTACCTTCATGGACAAGGCTGCAAACAAGCACAAGGTTGCAACCTAGCCGGTGTCAACAGCATGCACTCTACATAACTCTTGCACACACACACACACACCACATCTGCCAACAAAGAACAACCACAACAAACATGGACAGCTCAGCAACACAGTCACACCTGGTTTAAAGTCTTCTGCCAACAGATGTTCACAGGCGCCGTTTAGACTTTAATACCGCTCCTGCAAGAAACGGGTTTTGACTATGCACCAAACCATGTTTGTCGTGAACGTGCGCACAAACTGACCAAATCAGAAACACAGAGCGTAAGCTCAACAAGACAATGCAGCTGTTCTTGAACGCACAAACAACACACGTGAATGAAACAAACAGTAGCATCATGCGACACGCGCACACACACCCACACGTAACAAACAAACAAACAAACAAACAAACAAACAAACCAACAAACAAACAAACAAACAAACAAACAAACAAACAAACAAACAAACAATAAACAACCAACCAACCAACCAACCAACCAACCAAACGAACAAACAAACAAACAAACAAACAAACAAACAAACAAACAAACAAACAAGCAAACACACAATCAACCAGCCAAACAAACAAACAAACAAACAAACATTCAAACAAACAAACAAACAAACAAACAAACAAACAAACAAACAAACAAACAAACAAACACCAAACACATGGAGGGCATCCAAACAATCTAGGTGTCCTCTGGCAAAAAATGGCGATGGTCGAATGTTGGCCACGGATCTGTAACCCGGAAGAAGATGATCTAATAGACTGACACTATTTGGCTAAGGTACAAACAACAAAAGCAGCAAATGGCAACAAACAACAAAATCACACATTCAACTGAAGACCAATGACAACACCATCTTACTCTCAGGGGGTGTGTCACCACAAAGTGAATACCTACATACAAACATAATAACAAACAACTTCACAATCAAAGGCTGATGATATACCAGCCCTTGCACGGAACCCTCATCGCACACAATTCCCAAAAAAAGACTTCCATTTGCTTGAGCCCCCTGGAACAAATGCGAAATACGGCCAGTAGTGAAACCGCTTCCCTTTAAAACCAAGAAGGGAAACTCACAAAAGTTAAAATCAAAAAACACACCCAACCATAATAGCCAAACCCACGCAATTTACCCAAGGCACTAACAAAACCTTTGAAGCAAACGGAAGACGACGCCACTACCCAAAAACAGAGAGCCACAAAACCTCCCCCCCGTGGCAACGGAAGAGAGACGACAACAACATCTCTACTCTTGGTACGGTAGCAAAAAACTTTGCTTTTTGCAGACCCCCAGTAAAAATGAAAAGAACCAACAAAAACAAAAAAATAAGAAAAACACATGATCCAAGAACAGTGAAGTCAGACCAGTAAGCGAAACATTCGCCGTGGCGCCCAGTTCCCGGACTCCTCTTGGCCCAACTCCTCCAAGTTCCCGACCACGCGCACGCGCATGGGGCCGGTGGAGCCCTCAGCCCATGAGGCCCAGCTTGGCTTGGGCATCACCTCCAAGACGCCCTCGGCCTGACGCAGGACCTAAACATGTGTGTGTTCCTGGACCCTCAAACTACCCATAAAAATGGGTTTGACCCCCAAAATTATGGGGTGATATCCCATTTTTAAGGAATTTCGAGGGTCCAGGTACATAAAAAGGTACCTGGAGTCTCCATGACCCGAAATAAAAATGGGTCAACGACCAACCATTAATTTGGGTAATGACCCTATTTTTTAAGGGTCTTGGAGACTCCAGGTATACATATACACATGTGTATATGTATAAATATATATATATATACTCATATATGTATAGGTGTATGCATTCAACTGTATACATGAATGGCTGGCCCCTGGTTTCGAGTCGGTGTCATCGAATTGAATCGGTTCGGAAGGTCAAAATGATTGCCCACCCCATAGACCGGATTCGTCCGAAAACGGAGTGTATTTGTCGCAACGTTCGGCGGTTTCGGTCTGTTTTGTGCTTGTCTACGGGCAATCTGTTTGACCATTAGAATGAACTTGTTCTGTCTACTGAATTCTTATCTGTGTGATTGAGGACGGAAATAGAGTAATTAGGCTAAACTAGTTCTGAGTAGTAGGCTACATGTTCGGCCTAGTTCATGCATTTAGGCAATCCTGAAAGCCCAAAGATTCCTCGGAACTTCTCGCAAAATGCTGGTGGTCCAGCGTTAAACAAGCCGCAGTTTTGGGGCAGCCAAGCCGGCAACTCTGCCACACTTGCCTCGACGTTGTGCGCTTGCAAGTGCCTGGAGTCTCCTTCTGACCCTTAAAAAATGGTTGGTCATTAATTACCCAAAATACTGGTTGGTCGTTGACCCATTTTTATTTCGGGTCAGAAGGAGACTCCAGGTGGTTCAAAAGCTGCCACTTGTCGCGCGCCTTGCTCGGCTATGCTACACTTGCAAGCCACTTGCTTCGAGCGAGCTGCCGAAACCCGAACATAGAAATAGATCGACACAAAGTGCGAAAGTGCGGCAAGACTACGGGCAAACCACGAGGAAGGTTCGGGGCTGCGTTTGGGGTTGTTTCTACATGGGTTTTGTCCATTATTTCGGGATTCGGACGTTTTTGGCCTAATTTCTAGTCTATTGGGCAAATGCGTGTGTTCAAGTCGAATAAACGCTTTGGAGGGCCTGCAAAGCGAAGCCAAGACCAAGTCCTCATTTGCAGTCTTCATGCCTGAAGCAGGCTCCGGCTGCTCCTTGCTGTAGAGCAACGGCCACACGCACAAGTCGTTCGAATCTGGGCCCACAAGTGGACAGGCTCCAGCGATCGCGGCTTCACTCGTGTCGTGCAGTCGGGCCGGCCCGCGGCTTGGTGAAAGGTATGGGCATGGCCCTGTCGCCTCCGTCGCCTTGGAGATCCATGTTGAGTCTTCTGGCCCTTCGGATTTGGCCGGCGGCATTGGAGCAACTTCTGCCTTGACCTTTTGGGAGTTTTGCGGCTGGCCAACACTGAGAGATTTGGCACAGATCCACGTATCAGGAATTATGGTTATTGTGCGAGCAAAGCCGCTTCTGAAAAAAGCCGGGTTCTTTGGGCTAGTTCTAGGTCCAGTAGAGAGGTTAGAATAAGGGTACCTGATTTTTTCTGTAGTCTATTCTAGCAGGGGAACCATCCCCCAAAAAAGGGGTGAGAGAAGGGCACTACTGGGGGACCTAGAGTTGGCTTGGGCTCTAGTCCCTTGGTCCACTTTGTTGGGTGCTTCCCCACATGGCTTGATGGGCTCCTTTCCTCAATTGACTCAGTTGTTCAGTGACCCTGGAAAAAAAAGGGAGCCCTTTTTGGGGCTTGGACCATTTTTAGTGGGGCAGCCACCAAAAAAAAGAGGAAAAGATGGGTGCCACTGAACAACTGAGAACTTGAATGGCTGGTCGCCCCCTTAAAGCTCAGTTCCCAGCCAGAAAAATGAAAGGTGAACCTGTTGGCACCTCAAAATGAACCAAAGCTGGGAAACCAGAAGGTCCCCCCATTCAAAGGATAGTTGTGACACAATGTGGATGACGAGTTACTCCTGAACGGTAAATACTGGATAGGCCTATGTTAAGCCCACCCATGTTTCAAGGGTGGTAACGAAACTTCAGGGGTCGATTCGCTTTGGGCTAGGTGAAAAACACAACTCCATGGACCTTCAACATTCCAATTTAAAAATGGGTTATAGGGGCCATAACTATGGGGTGAAATCCTTTTGTTTTTGGTAGGTACTTGTTTTTGGCGAATCCTAACCGGCTAGGTGAGAGAAAAACACATGCCTGGAGTCTCCCAAAATAAATGGGTCATGGACCCATGTTCACTTAAAGGGTCAGAAGGAGCCTCCAGCGTCCAAGATCTTGGCCCGACCCCTGAAAAAGAAGAAACAAACACATAGGTGTCCTTTTAGGGCAAATAGATGGCCCTGGTAGATGATTGAACCACCAGGTATACCAGGAATCGCCATCTATTTTCCACCAAAGCAAGCAAAAGGGACATCTACGGAAAGAAACCGCCTGCAGGTGGAAGACCACGGCGGCGAGCTTTCCTACGCGGCTTGGTTCTCGTTAATTTGTAGTTTGGCAATTTTAGGGATCCCCCTTCCAAGCGTGCTTTTTTTTGGGGGGGGCAGGGTTGCGTTTGCGGGGGTTGTTGTGTTTGTGTTTTTTCTTCTTCAATTGAGGGGGTGTTTTTGTTGGGGGCCCCGGTTGTCTTTGGGGGGTTGTCTTGTAGGGAGACCAAATGAACAACTAGGTCCTCCAGTAGAGAGGTTAGAATAAGTTGTTACCAACTTTTCTCTGTTTTGTCTATTTTAGAAGGGGAACCGAATCTCCCAACCCAAAAAGGGGTTGGTCAAACGGCACCAATCGCTCGGGGACCTAGACTTATATACCACTAAACTGGTTCCAAAAAAGTTTGAGGTCCATGAAATCAGGGAGTGAGACCAAGGTGGTTACTTGGTTGACATTGGAAGGGGAGCAAAGAATCGAGTTTTAGCAGCTAAGTGGTTGGATTTCAACCACTAAACCAGAATAATATCAAAAATGGTTCAAATGTTTCCCAAAACCCATTAGTTGACAAAAAGTTAAAGTCCTAACAGCCAAGCAACATGCACCAAAGGTTACCCTCTCGCCCACATGGCAACTCACAGGGGTCCCCTCCATTTCAAGGATTCTCTCAAGCCGCTGCCCAGGTCCGAAGCTCCGGGAATGGCACGAAAACGAAGAAAAAATCCTAGGAGTCTCTCACGAAAAGAATTGGAACCCTTTTTGGGGCTTGGACCATCTTTAGTGGGGCCACCAAAAAAAGGGGAAAAAGGGTGGCACGGAAAAAGGGTGCCGGAAAAAGGGCTTCCCAAAGACTATTTTGTTCATAGAAAGGGGGATTCCCTAAAGTATCACAGAAGTGGTTGGAGAAACCCCTTGTGATCCCACAACCCTGGAATGGAGGAACTTGGTGTCCACCCGAGCTTCCCGAAAGGATTTTCCCGGTCGGTACCCGGGTTTCTATGGCTTTTTCACGGAAAAAAAAAACAAAGGATACCTTCCCAATGGTAACCCCTGTTGTGGTTTGGAAATTGGGGTGACTTGAAGCCTGGTTCGCGGGGTTTTCTGGGGGAATCCGCCCAGCTTTCCAAACTCCGAACCGGGCTCCAAACCATGCAGCCCCTAAAACAGGCAGCCACGTGGGGGGTAGTTGAGAGAGTTGGTTTCGCGGCCAAAGGTTTTGTAGAGACGTGGTTCCTTGGGCCCTTTTAGGGATGCCCCTCAAAGCAAGGGATGGCAATTGCTCCTTCCCTCATTTCCTACGGAGAATCAGCAAACTGGTGAAGGGATTGAGCTGCTGTTGGCGGTAGCTCCAATTGCATGAAACCGATTTTTGGTTGGGCACTGTTTGTTGGGGGGTCAAACTGTTTGGGGCAAAGCCTTTTTGGATGAATCTACACCTGTTACTGTTTGGAGTTGTTTGAAAGGGAAACCAAAAGGACACCATACGCGGGGCAAAGCATATCCTACTGTGAATGAACAACGAGTTCGGATGGATGAAATCCTGCGAATGCTGGGATAAGCCACCAAATGGCGCAGGAGTTGTCCATCCAAAGTACCTGGTCTGATAATAATAATAATAGAACAGCAAACATCCGACCTTTCCAACCCTCCAGCATCCGAGCCAAAACAATTGTTTTGCAGCCACCCACCAAAAATGGGCAACGATCCAAAACTAAAAAACCCAAACACCTGCCACCAGTAATGTTGACCGGGCCACGTGTTTTTTGACCCTAAACCCTACGGTGGGTGGACAGAATCCTGCACCACCTCAGCATTGGGTTGCACGCCCTCGCGCTCCCTTTTTAATATTGGGAGCTGAAAACACGCTGAAGGAAACTTAGTTGAATGGACGAAATCCTTCACCACCTTTACAGCCCATCAAAGCAACATTGAATATGGGGAGCGGGGGGTCCTTCTACACCCTTGTTTGACTCGTTGATTTCAGTGGTGCAGGATTTCGTCACAGTATGAACAGGCCGGTGTGGCCGAAAAAGCGGTCTGAACTCCCACTGAGAAAAGGGGATACTTCTTGTGTTTTCTCTGCTTCTCCTTTCAAAACTTCAGCTGTCAGCCCCGCGACCTGGACCCGTTGACCTCTGAAAACGCCGCGCTACGTCCGATTCGCCCGAGGAATAGCGGGATTCGGCCCCAATTTGGAGGCGGAGGGGCCTCCTGAACGGTAAATACACGAGGTTCAACACAACCCCCTCTGGTTCAATATATTTGACCCCCAGCGTTTAGTCCACACCGAAATTGACATGTTGGAGGAGACCAAAACCCCGGGCGCTCAATCTAACATATACCTGGAGTCTCCGTGACCCGAAATAAACATGGGTCCATGACCCCTTTATTTTGGGCCCGTGACCAACCATTTTTACAGGGTCCTTAGGGAGACTCCACGTATGCGTCTGTCTCTCACCTAGCCAAAAGCGAATCGAGCCCTCAAGTGTCGTTACCATGAATCATGGTGGGGTTAGCATAACCGCCAGTTCCCGTTCAGGAGTAAGTCGTCATCCACATTGGGTCACAACCATTCCGCAGTTGTTCAGTGACCCTGGAAAAAAAGAATTGGAACCCTTTTTGGGGCTTGGACCATTTTTAGTGGGGCAGCCACCAAAACAAAGGGAAAAAGGGTGCCACTGAACAACTGAGATTCCGCAGGCGGCCGAGCGGCCGTCATTCTCTTCCTCCACTTCCACCTCCTCCAGCTCTTCGCACCAATCGTTCTGCTCGCGTCGCCACTCGTGGGAGAAGTAGCAGGAAGAGCCCCAAAAGCCTCCGCTTTGCGCAAAACAAACATCTCCGCAAGCTTAACTTCCGTTAATCAAAGACACATGTCTAACATACTAAAACGAAATGCTCAAATCCAACCAAATACAAATACTCATGTTCCCAAAAGAGATCGCAAACTACACATCCCTCAAAATTCCGTAAAAATGGGTTATAGCAAACCAAAATGATGGTTGGTGAAATCCCATTTTTATGGCTAGCATTCTTTTTCTCGGGTCCAGGTATTCCCATCTTCCAAGAAGCAATGCCCGGATTGGAAGTAGAGGCACGGCTTCCCAGATTCCGCCGAGCCCATGGGATCGTCGATTCTCTCGCTCCAAGGTCCTCTGTGCAAGGGCCGAAAGGCACTGAACAACTTGTCCACCTGAACCTTCAACATTCCCCAAAACTGGGCTCGAACCCCAAAAGTACCGTGGATAGGTGGCGAAATCCTATTTCGCACCACCTAAGAAGCCCTGGAATGGTCAGATTCTCCTGCAAAAACCACAAATCGTGGTTTCAACCATGGTTTCAAAGTGGCGCGAGAAGCGGATTTCGCAACCATCCACAGCATGAAACCGTGGGAAACCACTTTTTGTGGATATTTACAGGGAATCATACCATTCCAGGGTTTCTTAGGTGTTGCGAGAAGCGGATTTCGCAACCATCCACGGTATGAGTGAAAAAACATGTTTTTTTTGGTTGCTTGAGAGTCCAACCACCTGGACCATCAAACCCCGAAAAGGGAGTTTACCAACCGTTGCTATAACCCAGTTTTGAGGGAATTCTGAGGGTAATACCCAGAACCATGTAAACCATTTAACGTATACAAACCTCAACCAAAGTCTATCTCCAAACATAGGTGTCCTTTTGAGAAAATAGATGGCCCTGGTAAATGGAATGAAACCAACCTAAACCAGTGCCATCTATTTCTAGCCAAAATGACCTAAAAAGGACGCCTATGTCTCTAAATTTCTACAAAACTAAACGTCTCAGAAACCGTACGGCTGGGAACTGCCAAGGCTCGAAGCTTCCAATTCCCGCCTTTCCGACACACGGGGCTTCGCTTGCCCTCATGTCTCGTCCAACTCGGCGCGAAGTCTCGCTTGGACGCCGACCGAACTCGGGTCCGGCGCCGTTCTTTCATCCGGAGTCGGGCGGAAACGGGCTGAACTCCTAGCCTCCCCCTTCAAAAGGAGTTGGTTGCCAGTAGATGGGCGTGTCATTTCTGGTGGCCCCTCTTTTTTTGGATTTCAACGGAACTCAACAGGACAACCACCATTTTGGGGGGTCCCTCAAAACGGGACACCCAAAGGGGCAGATTCTGGGCTGTGCAAGCTGGGGGGGGGGGCCCCTCATCCTAATCCACAACCTGTAGGGGCATAAGGATCTCAAGGATTGATTTTGAACCCAAAGGTTCCGTTGTCGATCACTAAGGTCATCAAAACTCAAGTGGCTGGCCAAAAACATGTACCAACATGGAACCTTATGAACCATAGGCTACCTGCGCAAATTTCGGGTGTTTGATTTTGAGCCACGCCCAAATGTGCTACTTGCGCTGTGCTGATTGATCCTGCAAGCCTGCCTCGCCAGAAAACTATCTCCATTGGACTCCTGGCAATGAGTCCCGTGGTAAAGTAATGGTTTCCACTTTATGAGTCAGTAATGGTTTCCATTTTATAATTTGGCTGTGGCTCAAAAAACCGGTACCTAAATGGAACCCTGGTAAGTGGAAACATGGACCAAAACCTGCGTAACCCCATGTAACCCCTCCTGTTTAATTCTGAGCCGCACCCATTTGTGGGGACTCAATTATGATTTTATTTTTTTTTCCGGGGGTCCCGTAAAAGAAAAACACTGGACTTGATGAAAGCCCCATGCTATTTGCATTGTCTCTCGCCCGATGACTTCTGTGGATCACTGGAGCACTTGCGGCGAGCGTTCGATTGTTCCTATGCCGAGGCAGCCAATCCAAGCCTAAGCGCCCAAGTATGGTCCATCACAAAATGCGTTGACCCCTGTTGGCTCTTCACACGCCTTTATCTCTTTGCCTCTTTTCCGAGCCTCGCCAACTCGCGCAACTACCGAGGGAGAGGAGTAAACGATGGAAGACTGTTGGTTCTGGGATAAGACTGCTTCCATCCTGTTCACATGCTCCCTATATCCCCTCCTTCAACTTCACCCCACCAAAAGAACCTCCCCCTTGTCAATTGACCCCACAAGGTGATGTTTAAACCATCCTGTAGCAGCCCTGATGATACATGCACCTTCTGAGGAAGATGTGCTGATGCCAAATTCGTAGCCCCCTTTTAGTGGCCTTAGGCTTGGGTTTTGGGCCCTCAACATGGGTGAGGGATGCGGGTTCATCAACTTCCTGCAGAGAGGCCCTGCCTATGCTCTTGCGAATCTTTCTTCAACATCAGTGAGAAGTCGGTGCGTGAAAAGTCGGTGCCCTCTTGACCCATGGTCACACACGAAGATCATTTGCCCCCAGGAAGATTGGGCCAGTGTGGGACGCTTGGGCTGGCTGCTCGTGCTCCCGAAGCCAGAGCCAGTAGACTGCCAACAATTGTGTCAGCCACTAAAACTTGGTCTTCTCCAAGCGGATCAAGCCCAGCAATTTTCTGCGAGTTACTCCCCGGCCCAGGGCGTGACCGCAACCACAAAGAAACTCCAGGAACTCAGAAAAATGAGTTGGAAATGGGTTTGTGCCCCTGAATTATGGTTGGTGTTCCTTTTTGGCCAAGCTTGCTGGTGCTCAGTTGGGAATGACCGTTCCGGGTTTGGGGAATGAACCGCTCTTGGAACTTCCCTTAAAGGAAACCATAGGACCTGGATGGTTTTTCTTGGGGTCAGATTTCAATTCTCATTCCCTGAAAACCAGCAAGCGCTCGCCTGGAGTGAGTGGCGCTTGATTCCCAGTCCGGGCCCCAACCGGCCTGACCCGAGGTGGCCACGCAAAGCCACCTGGCCAGGTTGACGTTGGATTCACCAAGAGCCAAAGCTGGGCTGTTCGCTTTTTCCCCTGCTAAGGTTTAATCCTTGGGCGAAATGGAAACCCCCACTAAACCAAACGCCAACTAAACACCAACAAAAAAGAAGCGGACGGCTATGAACCGCCAAGCATGGGGAGTTGCTACAAATCTGGCCGCGCTTGTTTGAGGCGAAGGGTACCCTTCTCCACTCTCTAACCCAAAACCAAAAGGACAAGTCCGCCACCCAAAATCGGGGGAGTGACCGGCTAATCTTTCGACACGTGGCCATTTGACCACGAGGAAACAAAAGGCTTGAAGATCATGCCCAGTAAACTCAAGCAAATAAGCAGCCATCACGCCTTGAGTGACGAATGGCTAAAAACAAAACGGTGCTGCAAGCGGGGTCTGAAAAAAACAAACTAGAACTTTCGCATCATCCTTGAGTATTCCTTGTGGAACCACGAGTGGCCTTTGTTGCTTTCCAAAAGATGGAAGATTCTGACCGCCCTCGCCACAAAAAAAAAAGAAAGTCGAACTGGGCCTAAGGAGGCCCACAAGAAGTGAAAAAGTCATCGCTTCTAGAGAAAACTCCTACCCAGCGGCTCCTGGCTTCGGCTTTCCATGGAAGACCCGAGCCCTCCATTAGACACCCCGGGATTGTTTGGGGGTCTCAAAACCTGGCTGTTTGGAGGGCCCTCAACAGATCGGGAGCGTCTGGGTAGTGAATTTGAACCACTCGAATGACATGTACCAAAGAGGCACTTTAAACAAATCCTAAGCCCATAAATCCGCCGCAGACCTACTGTGGGAGGACAAAATCCTGCACCACCTAAGAAACCCTGGAATGATGATTCTCCTGTAAATACCAGCAAATTATGGTTTCCCATGCTTCAAAGTGGTGCAGGATTTCGTCCATCCACAGTATCTTAAACCAACCGAACACCCTCCGATCCCAGGCGCCTAAACCCAAACCCACCGTCCTGCCAGAACCCGAGGCAACCCGACCTGAAAACCCCGCAGACCTCCAACAAAAAACCACTGCAAGCCAACCTTTCACCAACCTCTAACACCCCACCTTGCAAACCAACCCCAGGCCCACCCTATGCCACGAATCCCAAAGCCAGGCCAGCTCCCGTTATCTTTTTGCCTTTGGCACCCGTCCAAAACTCCCCACCCCTCTCGGGCCGCGACGCTTGCCAGGCCATGCGCAGCAACAAGAGGGGCACGGTGTCGTCGTTGTCCAGCAAGCTCAGAAGCCCTCACAGGTGTTCAACAACTTCTCTAGGGGCGCGGTTCGGCTTGCAGTTACGAATTGCAAACAAAGGTTTGGCCCCTGAAAAATCGGATTGGAATGCGTAGTCTTCTAGGATTCCAACCATTCTTTTCAACCATCGCTCCTTTCAAAAACCGGATCTGCTTCCAACCCGGGTTTTTGATGGTTTCCTGAAAAGATTCGGATCCCTGGAACTTCTGATCACGTGAAACTTCTCTGTCCGTCTTTTGATGCCCTGCGAGTGCTTGACTTTGGGTGAAACAAACGCCGCAAACACTAAACCCGCAAAAGCCTCGGAAAACACCTCGGGGGACCGGGAAGCGCAAAGTCGTCCAAACGTTTGCCACCATGGGTCTTCCCATCAAACGTTTGCAGTCGGTGTACTCAGAGAGACAGAGATTTCCTGGGTGCCTCACAGAGATTAATGTCGACACCCCCCCAAGCGTATGCTTCCATGGGCCTCTTTTGAGTGGGGATTCTGGTCTTGCAGATGGACCGCCCTGATTTCTACCTGGGTGGTGGGTCATGAATATTGACTTATAAGGGGTCAACCTTACTGGGTCCAACAAGATTTCCTAATGGGCTCAGATGGGACACCCAAGACGGCGGTTTTCCCTTTGGCTTCCCTTCAATCACAGCCCCAAAGGGGTGCCGCCGTTCAAAAGGATGCATAACATTGCTTGGGTGTTCGGCCAAGTTAGCAAGTGGTTGACCAATTAGATTGCGCCCTGCTTGCTGTAAGCCAGGCCAACTCCACTTGTGGGACTTATCAAGTCATTTCCCAAGCGACTCACCACGTACTAACTTGGCGAATCGAACTCTCAGGTAGTTTGTCCCTCACTGACCTGTAACTACCCGGGTTTTGAGCAAGCGGCTCATTGGCTTGGTTCACATTGGAAGGGGAACATAAATTCTCACAAATTTTAGCAGTTCAGCGGTTGGAATTCAACCACTAAACCGCCATCAGGCAAAATGTAAAAATGTTTCCCAACAACAACCATGCCACTTGAGTATGGCTCAAAATGAAACAGCTGGGGCAAACCGCAGGTTTTAGTCTACCTTTCGATGTACCGAAACGGGGAGGATACTTGGAAACGGATGCATGACAATCCTAAGCGTCAGCTCGAAGCGGACAGCCCCGCGGAACGAGTTCCCCACCTCCCCACCTCGAATCGTGTACGTCCACGTTCCCCTTCCGAGGCTTCCAAAAGGAATCTGGGTGTGTGCCTTAGCATAGGTGCTTGCACCATCAAGATTCCAACTTAAACATGGGTTATAGCTCAAAAAATACATGAGTGAAATCCCTCGTTTATGTTGGTTTGGTGCCTTAACATACAGGTGCTTGCACCCTCAAAATTCCCTTAAACGTGGGCTAGTTTGGGGGCCAGGTAGGCACTTGGACCGTCCAACTTGGACCCTCAAACACAGGGAACCCACCCCAGAACTTTGGAGCAACAACCGATTTTTAGGGGTAGTTTGAGGGTCCAGGTACTTGGATGTTGAATCCAGCTAGCTGCAACGGCTACTGAGGTGGCTGGCTTGCTCGGTTCCCTCGCAACTGCGGATGGACAACCTGCACCACTTGGATAGATGAAGCTCTGCGAAAACTGGGATATACAAGCATCATCTACCAACAGGTGCAGGATTTTGTCCATCGACAGTAATGCAAAATGAACAAATGAGGCATGGTCGAAATTACTTACTTGCAACCGTTTCGCTTAGTTTGAGAGTCCCCTATCGTTTTGCAGCTTTTCCATCCTCTTCCAGGGGTATCGTTTTTTCGAGAGTCCCCTATCGTTTGCCACGGTTTTGTGCATTTTCACAATATCACTGAAACACCGAATACTAAACTCAACAGAAGTGATTTTGACGGTACTTCAAATAGGAAATCGACCGCCAAAAGCCGTTACATTGGAATATCACACCTGTTGCTCATATTCAAAATGGTCCGCGCAATGACAACCTTATCACATGAGGGGCTCCGTTGGCATAGGGGTGTCTTTTTTCGGTGTCCGAAGGGCTTCCTGTTAAACCCACCTTAAAAGGGCATCCTCAAAAACCGACACACCCGTCTCATTCACAGTATGCACCGTTTGCTTTTTTGCCCCGCACAGCAACACAAACAGCATTGATAGATTTACTAACTTGCGCGAGCCGATTTCGGGTACGGTTTCGTGTCGGATACTTCTGAAGTCAATATTCCAGGAGCCTTTGGGGGGGATCGTTTGGAAGTGTAAACGCACGCAGCCCAACATTCTAAAGGATTAGCCAGCGGAATGCCACCTGGCATAACAGCACACACTGAACGTGCCAAAATACTTGCTGGCTCAACTAGAAAACAGAAAGATTAAATCCTAGAAACATGTCCTCCATTAGAGGGGTTAGAATAAGGGCACCCTTTTTCCTGTAGTCTATTTTAGTAGGGGAACTCTCCCAACCAAAAAAGGAACGGTAAAAAGGGCACCTAGCTGGGGGATCTAGATATAGTTTTACCCTTTACCGCGGTGAAGATCCCGAGTCTCCGCCGAAGCCCTCGCCTGCGGCCAGCTTCCGACTGCCTTCCCTCGCGCTGCTCTTGCTCGTGCGCGCCTGGCGTCGGAACGCATCGGACACCGCAGCCCTCTTTTAGCGCAGACACCGCCGGGTGCATAACCTGGTAACTACAAACATGGGTGAACCCAGAGCCATGTAAAGAATCGAAAAGCGGCCTTTATTCATTTGGCCATGGGTCAAAAGCCCGTACCCTTAGTGAACATCCCAATCCCCACTAAAATAGACTAAAATGGGTGGTGCACCTACCCCAAAATGGTACCATTGGCTTTGACCCACAGCCATTTGTGGCTGGGAGTGTCCCTTACCCTCCAATTCTCCGGGGCAACTGTGGCTCAGGTGTTGCAAGTTGACAAAGGTTGAAGTCACCCGGGCTGTCGTCTGGGCTGACTTGCCCTCTTTTTCAATCGGTGTTGACATAAAGCTTCTCGTTTGGAGCAAAACCCTAATATAGATACAGAAGGGGTAGGCATGGGGCCTGCGTTTTTGCGAGTGTCCAAAATCAAGCAACGTCTGTGCAATGAAACATGCAGAAACCATGATTTCCCAAAACAAACTGCAGGCCCAGCCCTATGTCTTTAAACGAAAAAAACAACAAAGAAACCTCGGGTTTTCCAAGGAAATGGACAGACTTTGAACCGGGGCAGTTTCTCCCGCCTCTTTCGCCGGCTTGACCGTCGGCTTCGGGTACTTGGGTGTTCCATTTGGCAAGGTAGTAAGTGGTCAATCCTCTAGATAATAACCTACTTACCAGGCCAACTCCACTTGTGGAACGTAGTAGGCTGTAACCCACGTTACGAACCGCTTAACTTGGAAGACCCAAGTCGTTTGTCCCCCTACCTGCATACATTTACCACGTTACGAACTCTGCGAAACGAAGACCCAAGAAGATGCATTCAAATCTTCAGCTTCCTTCGGAAAGGCTGGAGGGCGCCCGTTGGTTTGCAGTGCAGGTGAGGTGGGTTCCTATTTACTCTCTGGAAGAACTAGGCTTCCGCTTGCTTAAGAGCATCTTGTTTCTATCCCTGGTGGCTTTAAATGTCACTACCTGGAGTCTCCATGACCCTTTCAAAATGGGGTCATTACCCTAAATGATGGAGTCATGGACCCCTATGTTTAAAGGGTCCTGGAGACTCCAGGTATTTCACATATATTTCCAAAACCATCAATTTTCCATGGGTGTCCTCCACTTGCGTTTTCGTCCCCAGAAAAACAACATATTTCCATTTAAAATCAACAGGGAAGAAAAACACATATTCTGAATCTTAAGGTGCCAAAGGGAGGTTTTCCAGAAGATTGCTAGCTGTCAGACCTTGACGAAGAAGTGCACGACGACCACTTGGACCACTTAAAAAGAGCCACACGGTGGATGCTGGCGAAATCCATTTCGCACCACCGTTGAGAAACCCTGGTTTGTGATGCTTCCCCAACGTGAATACCAACAAACTTTATGGTTTCAACCATGTACTCCTAGAAAAAAGTAGCCATATATATAATCAATATATATATATATAACATATATATATAACATACATATATATATATATATGTAGCTTTTTCGGGGACCCCCAAAACGGATGGAGGATCTCCCTTTGGCGCTCCTTTAAACCACCTGCCATCGACGACGCTGCTTCCGTCGCGTGTCGCGCCTGCCAGGCATGCATCGCCTTGTGGTGCCAAGTGCCCAAGACCAGGCGCAGCAGAGTCCCGCGATCCAATCCTCGCGCGCGGTCCGAGGTCGAAGGAGAGCGCGGGAGAAGCCCGACACGGAGAGCACGCTGCAGAGCGAGAAGGGACATGTAGGGGAAGTTCTGAGCTGAAGATGAAGGGACCCTTCTCTGAAACTCTTGGGCTGCCACATCTACGGTTGACCTGCAGAGCTTGCTGCTCTGGGAGATCGTGAAAGCCAGAGAAGGCGAAACCAAATGGCACCCTTTTTCTTGGATGGTGCTAAAGGGAAGCCAAAAGGACACCCAGTTATGGGGGTCAACATATTTTGACACACCATTCAGAAGGGAAGCCGGGGCTTCATGCCCGGGCTCCGGAAAAATTGGGCTCCGTCTGAAAAAACAAGTATTTGCCAAACCATGCACCGAGCAAAAGTCTAATTCAACGTCTGGTAGGCAAAAACTATAGATGTATAACTCAGGCTCTCTTGGACTCTTCTTGAAACCACTCGATTTACAGGAAGTTTTAGTTCTACTACAAAAAGCGGTCGCATTCCTGCCCCTATCTGAAGCTTACTTCTTACCGCTTCGCTCTTCGAACCTGCCGGGACGGCTTCGATTTTCCCCGCCCGTGGTTCGTCGCCTTGCACCAGGACGGCCGCGGCCAGGTGCAGCCGCTCTTGCTTCCGGCCCTGGCCTCGGCTCAGAGCTCCGTCCCCGTTTTGCGCGTGGATCACGGGGGCCCGCTCGACCACTTGGCGCTGAAATGCTCCGTGGGTCCAAAGTAGGGTAACCACAAAATGGGTTGCCCTGGTACACAGAAACATGGTCCAAAACCTGCGGTCCAAATCCTGGTAGCTTAACCATTTAACCCTTAGTTGGTGGTTTGGCCTGGTTTGGGGGTTTGAGCCCCTGGTGCTTGTAAAGGGTGAATGAGAAACCCCTCCTTAACCACCAAACCACCAAGAGGGAAGGTGACAAGGCTCGATTGGAGCGGGGAAGCCCCAGGTGGAGAAGGTTTTCGGGTTGAAACCAACAGGACGCCGCGTTTTTTGTGATTTCTTTTTTTAGGGGGGGGGGGTGGCATGCCTCATAAAAAAGACAAGCCCAAAGAATCAGACTGCTCCCCTCACACATAGGTAATGGAAAGGGCGGAAAGACACAGGATGTGGTTGCGGGGCAGTTTGAAACCAACTTGAGTCATGGGAGGAGCAAACTCCGCCAGAATCGATCATGGAACCCAAGTTTGGTGTGGGGGTTTCAGGCTTGGCAAGGCCTTTGGGTGGGTTTTCTAAGGGAACAACCCCACTAGAACCCGGAGGGGAACTTTGAAGGTACTTGGAAACTATATCGACTCAAAAAAGGGGAATGCTCAAGTTGCTTTTGAGATCGTTCATGGCGGAAAGAAGGGGACCCCACCGAAAAAGCCTATTATGTTTTGCCTGCGGAACAGGAACCTTACATTATACACCTGAACATTGCCTTGTAAATGGCGGTTTCCAACTTTATTTGGTGTTGAAAAAACAACATGTCTCAAATGGTTGCAAAATGGAGATCTTTTAAGGAGCCCTGTGGAAAACAAAGGGAACCCCAAGAAAGCAACACAAAAAAATAATAACCTACTTCTGGGGGAGAGAGCCAAAAAAAACATTGCTGGTTGGCCGAACCTGTTACTGAGGAAATGAAGATTCATCGCACTCAGAAACCCTGGAAAGATTTATGCTTCCCCTGCTAATACCAACAAACCATGGTTTCAAAGTCGCGGCGAAATGGGTTTCGTGCCTCCACAGTATCTAGGTCCTCCAGAAGAGAGGTTAGAATAAGGGTGCCCACTTTTTTCTGTAGTAGTCTATTTTAGTAGGGAAACCCTCCCCCAAAAAAAGAAACGGTAAAAGGGCACCTAGCTGGGGGACCTAGGTTACTAGATCTCATTGGTCTAAAATCTGCTCAGAAGTCCGATCCCCAATCCCACGTCGGTTGCGGGTGCCTTGAGAACATGGCACGCGTGATGCCAGTGAAGCACCTACCTTCGTCCGAATCTTCCTCATCCGTTGCTTTAAGCAACCTCCATTTGCTTTCGTCCCCTGGAAAGAAAGGACAAAAAAACAAACCTAGGTATGGAAACACCCAAGCAACACTTGGGTTTCACATCGTCAGAACCGCCACTTCAGGTTGAGCCGGCGGTTGCGAGCCTGGCCAAACCTTTTGCAAGCCTATCCCCTGGGGAAAAAACCAAAAACATGTCCAGTAGCGAACTCGTTTCCTCTTTAAAACCAGGAGAAGCTAACAAATACTGTGATAAGCGAATGGAAGACTATCATGTTGCAACCTTATGTATAGGGGTTCACTTCTTTGTTCTGAAACGCACATGGGCATGAAGGAAACAAACACGATCCTTCGTTTCACAGGGTTTTGGGACGCCTCACCACCAAAAGAACCACCCTGACTAAGGGGGGTTATTATACAACGCCACATAGAAAAAATGACGCCCGGCTGCAACTTGGAATCCAAATTTCCGCTCAGCAGAAGTTCCGAACGCTTCCCGTGACTTTTGGGTTAGCCATGCATTAGTATTTGTTGTGCTTTACAAGGACCCCTACAAAAGTGATTTTGGTGTCCGGTTGGGTTCCCAAGGCAAAACCAAGCAAAAGGGGGGTGCCCTCCAAACAAGCCGATCTTGTGCGGAAGAGGTGTTCTTCCAAACCGCGGACCCGGCGACCGGAAAGGCCCCAGAAACACGCCGTGGTGAAGCCCAGGTTATTCGGCGGAGGGTTCAGTTTTGGAAATCCGTTTTGGAATCCTTTTCCAGGTGCTACCCCACATGGATGCATTACTCATTCACTTTGCTTCCGTCGAGTTGTTGTTGCCCCTGTTGGTTTTTCCAAGGGGAAATGAATTAGCGAGGCTTTGGGCCCTTGTATGCCGCTGTTTGGGCAAACCAAACATTGCGGTTTCATAGGATCCTAACCATCACGATTCCTGTGAACATGAAGCTTCCATTTAATTTACTTAGGCCCACTGGAAAAAATATCAAATATTCCCAGTAGTGAAATTGACTCCCTTTGAAACCAAAAGGGCAAAATAAAGAATTTAAGCAAATGGAAGGAAGCCATTTGCAGCTCAGCATGCCATCGGTGAATTCTTCAGATTACTTTACCAAGTTCATCTGAGAGGTAGTTCAAAGGACAACACGCCCCGGCCGAGAGGACGCCTCAGCAAAAAAAGACTCACGTCCCGACTACCATGGTCCTCCCACAGACGTGGTATAAAGTCCATGAACTTAGGCTTCCATTTTCTGAGAAGCCCCCAGGAAAAAAAAGATAATATGTCCAGTAGCGATAGATAGTGATATATTTTCTTTGAAACCAAGAGGGACAAACAACAAAAGCATTTTTCAGCGAATGGAAGAAGGAAGCGGCGCACGGCGGCACGTGCCACGTTTTCTGGCGTGAACGAAAGCAGGAAACTAACCAAACACACAAACACGTGACAAATGAGCCCCCTAACTACCTCGGTAAATGACAGGGGAGCAAAATACCAGTGGAACAACTATGCTTTATGTCCTGTTCAACTCCAGGGGGTGGCATTCCCAATTCACATTGCGAAACCTGCGCTCAAACATCCTGGGACGCAAGGCTTTGTCGCCTTTCGGGACAGTCGAAGAAGTTGCCTTCAGCATTAACTAAGACTAAGCAAATAAGTCGAAGCCGTTATCTTACTCCAACTCTTCACTGGACTCATCAACCCAAGGAAAGTTGCAGCCGGCAAAGGCACCCTTGCCAATACGAGTCACGGAGTCAGCGAAGGTCACACTCGCTAACGAGGCACAACTTTCAAAGGCATACCGCCCGATCTTAGTCACAGCACTGGGAATGGTTATGCTTGACAATGAGCTGCAACCTCTGAAGGCACTGTTTCCAATCTCGGTCACTGTGTCGGGAATGCTCACGCTTGTCAATAAGCTGCAATTTCCGAAGACAGAACATTCAATCTTCGTCACAGTGTTGGGAATACTCACGCTTGTCAAAGAGCTACAATTTTCAAAGGCGCTAAACCCAATCAGAGTCACAGAATTGGGAATGGTCACACTTTTCAGTGAGCTGCATCCTGAGAAGGCTCTAAACCCGATGTGAGTCACAGAATTGGGAATGGTCACGCTTTCCAGCAAGCTGCATCCTTGGAAGGCCTGATAGTCAATCACCCTCACTGACTCAGGGATGGCCACACTCTTCAATGAGCTGCAGTTTGCAAAGGCCCAGCACTTGATCACAGTCACGGAGTCTGGGATGGCCACGCTGGCCAAAAACCTGCAGTCAAGGAACGCACATGAACCGACCTGTCCTGCAGCTGGAAGTTCCACTACACGCAAATCTTCAATCTCTCGGCTGGATGACCTGGCTCGTGAGCACTTCACCGGCTTGATGCTCAGGAAAGCCAACACTTCTGCGCCTGGAATTGCATCCGACACCTTCTCCTCGTTGTTCAATAGGGGGGTGTCGGCGACAACCACCTCCACCGAGCTCATGTTGCGCTGTGACTCATCTCCACAGGGCAGCCACCCGTGCAGCTGACGCTTAAACTCACGGACAGTCATGTCTGCCTCCAACTGGAATGCTTCCTCTTTCCCGGACGGCGCACAGCGTACTGTAATCACTCTGGCCATGGCTGCCAACCGTTCGTCTAGGCAGATTCAAGCAACCTGCTTGTCAACATAGGTTGACCCCCAAAACGGGTGGCTTCCTTTTGGTCTGCCTTTACAAGCTGAACAGGGTGAAGGGGCACATGCTGCCAATTCTCAGCCGGGATTTCGGGCTTGGCTCTATGAGCTCGAGCAATGCTTCCGATCGATCCACGAACATCGGAAAGCAACGACTCACAAAGCCTTCCTTTTAGTCTGTTGTCCCAGTGCGTCTGATTTGCTGAAACGAAAAATCTGAGGGGACTCAAAACGAAATTGTCGTCTACAACCGATTCTCCTCGGAATTCGACTGAAACAACATCCAAGCGGGGGTGCACCAATTGGAGAAGCCCTCACACACGCAACAGGCCAATGTGACAAGCAACCGTGTGGACCAATCTTTGCCCCACGGCTGCTTTGATTTCATACAGGTGCCCGCCTCTCTCAAGGCAGGCGTGGCAACTGGACAGCGGGCCCAGTACCCTCCATCCAGGTCCCACTGGCTAACACCCATGGTTCACTTGGCTGAGGACGAGACAGGGCAAAAAAAAATCACGATGGCAACACCATGCTGGATTTCACCGGTTGAACTTTGAGGGGTTCCACTTCCAACTGGACTTGTCCAACGCCTCGGTCCTGACATCCTGCAATCCCAAAAGGCCCCTGAGCGCCGAAGCGTTTGTCGCCGCCTGTACTAAGCTGGCCAGTATTGGCCAGTCCAAGAAACAGGTTCAACGCGCTTGCGCTGCAGCATTCAGATTAATCAAACAAGTCGAAATCGAAAACCGACTCCTCCGACTCTTCATTGGACTCATCAACCAAAGAAAAGCTGCAGCCGGCAAAAACACCTTGCCCATACGAGTCACGGAGTCAGGATGGTCACACTCGCTAGCGAGCTGCCATTTTCAAAGGCACGCTGCCCGATCTCAGTCACAGAATTGGGCATGGTTATGCTTGTTGTCAATGAGCTGCACTGTCCGATGGCACATGCTCACGCTTCTACAATTTTCAAAGGCACTAAACCCAATCTGAGACACAGAATTGGGAATGGTCACGCTTTCCAGCGAGCTACACCTTGGAACACCGGTACTTCAATCAGAGTCGGGGATGGCAACGCTCTTCAATGAGGCGCAGGGTGCAAAGGCCGAGTTTCTGATCACAGTCACTGAGTCTGGGATGGCCTCTCTGGCCAAAAAACTTCATTGAGCGAACGCACATCTTCAGCCTGTGCTGCAGCTGGAATCTCCACTACGCACAAATCTTCACGCTCACAGCCGGATGACGAGGCACGTGAGCACTTCATCGGCTTGATGCTCAGGAAAGCCAACACTTCTGCCGCGTTGTTCAATAGGGTGTGTGTGTTTCTGACAACCACCCTCACCAAACTCATCTTGCTCATCTCCGCAGGGCAGCCACCTGTGCAGCTGGCGCGTGAACTCCAACTCGAATGCTTCCTCTTTGCCGGACGCACAGTGTACTGCAATCTCTCTGGCCATCGCCGACCATTTGTCTAGATCCAAGCAACGGCGTCAACATGGTTGACGTTGGAAGGGGAGCAACAATTCAGCTTTTAGCAGGTAAGTGGGGAAGTCTCACTAAACCACAATAAGCAAACATTCAAACTATTTCCCAACCACCAAAATATTTCCCAACAACAGCCATGTCAACATGGGCTTGCTTTTGGTTTTCGTCAAGCTGAAGTCCTGGTACCCGGCAACACGCGAATTCCACACCGCGCCAGAATGCTTTTCTTCGGGCACCTTGGGGCTTCAGAGTCCGGGCTGGGCGGAGGGCGCTCGGTTCAAAGACTTCGGTTTTCAACCAGAACTTCTTGGAAAGGATCCCTGAGAAGAATTCGGAGAGGCTTCAAAACGAAGGAGTTTTCTGGCTGGTTCCCTTCGGGGATTCCCTTGAAACACCAAGCAAACAAGGCCAAGCAACAGGGGTGCAGCATTTTGGACAAGCCCTCCAAGTAGCAAGCAATGATTCAATGTGAAACGCAACGGTGTTGTTCCTTGCTTGTCCTAGGGGTGGTTGATGTTGAAGTCGCTTCTTGTCAAGGGAGAAGAGGTGGCAATGGAAAGTGCAAACAATCTTGCAAGGCCTAGCGGCCTAACCTAAGCCCTCAGTCAGTACACACTGCTCCAGACACTTGACGGATGCAAACCATGATTAACCCGGCCGCGGACGAGACAACGATGGCCAGACAATGCTGAGTTCATGTCCTGCTTAACTCTAAGGGCGTCCATTTCAGATTTTATTTGCGAAACGCCTGCCCAGCTCAAAGAATCCTACAACCCCAAAAGGCCCGTGAGCAGCTTTGTCGCCGCTGGTACTGCGCGGGCCAGTCGAAGAACAAGGCTCATGCGCTTGCGCTGCAGCATTGTTGTCTGGCTAATCAAACAATAAGTCGAAATCGATACTCGAATCACTCGACTCCTCCGACTCATCAACCCAAGGAAAGTTGCAGCCGGCAAAGGCACCCCTACCCATACGACTCACGGAGTCTGGGATGGTCGCACTCGTTAGCGAGCTGCAATTTTTAAAGGCACGCTGCCCGATCTCAGTCACAGAATTGGGAATGGTTATGCTTGACAATGAACTGCAACCTCCGAAGGCACGCTTTCCAATCTCGGTCACTGTCTCCGGAATGCTGGCGCTTGTCATTGAGCTGCACTGTCCGAAGACATCAGCTTTAATCCTTGTCACTTTGTTAGGAATGCTCACGCTTCTCAATGAGCTACAATGTTCGAAGGCACTAACCCCAATTTCAGTCACAGAATTGGGAATGGTCACCCTTTCCAGCGAGCTGCATTCGTGAAAGGCCATACATTCAATCACCGTCACGGAGTCGGGGATGGCAACGCTCTTCAATGAGCTGCAGCCGGCAAAGGCACCCCTACCCATACGACTCACGGAATCTGGGATGGTCGCACTCGTTAGCGAGCTGCAATCTTTAAAAGCACGCTGCCCGATCTCAGTCACCGCACTTGGAATGGTTATGCTTGACAATGAACTGCAACCTTGGAAGGCACGATTTCCAATCTTGGTCACTGTCTCGGGAAAGCTCACGCTTGTCAATGAGCTGCACTTCCCGAAGACATCATCTTTAATCTTTGTCAGTCTGTTGGGAATGCTCACGCTTCTCAATGAGCTACAATGTTCGAAGGCACTAACCCCAATTTCAGTCACAGAATTGGGAATGGTCACGCTTTCCAGTGAGCTGCATCCTTGGAAGGCTCTCTGCCCAATCCGAGTCACAGAATTGGGAATGGTCACCCTTTCCAGCGAGCAGCATTCGTGAAAGGCCATAAATTCAATCACCGTCACGGAGTCAGGGATTGCAACGCTTTTCAATGAGCTGCAGCATGCAAAGGCCAAGTTTCTGATCACAGTCACAGAATCTGGGATGGCCACGCTGGCCAACCACCTGCAGTCGAAAAAAGCATGGGGGCTGACCTGTCCTACAGCTGGAATTTCCACTACGCACAAATCTTCCAGCTCGCAGCCGGATGATGAAGCACGTGAGCACTTCACCGGCTTGATGCTCAGGAAAGCCAACACTTCTGCGCCTGGAATTGCATCCGACACCATCTCCTCGTTGTTCAATAGGGGGGTGTCTGCGACAACCACCTCCACCGAGCTCATGCTGCGCTGTAACTCATCTCCGCAGGGCAGCCACCCGTGCAGCTGCCTCTTGAACTCACGGACAGTCATGTCTGCCTCCAATTCGAATACGTCCTCTTTCCCGGACGGCGCACAGTGTACTGTAATCTCTCTTGCCATGGCTGGAAACCGCTATGTAAACTTTAGTAAGCCTCCATCTGCGAAACGTTTGCTGGATTCTATCCACACATTGCTGTAAGGATAGGTTCCCTATCAAGCCAACAGGGGCATGAGATATTGAAACACCAATGGAAGCAAGCTAGCTGCCATAGGAAAGCTCTTGCTTGGATGATCTGCTTGCCTTGGCTTCTAGCGCGGATCGCGGATCAAGCAAATTGCAATGGCCGCACTATATAGGATGGCTGCCAACCGTTCGGCTAGGTAGATTCAAGCAACCTGAGTGTCAACACAGGTTGACCCGCAAAATGGGTGGTGTCCCTTTGGTTTGCCTTTACAAGCTGAACGGGGTACCGAGCCGCAGCAAAACGACGCAACGGGAAAGCTGTTGTTGACACTCTGAAGGGGCACGTGCTGCGACTATGAGCTCTAGCAATGCTTCCGATCGATCCGCGAACATCTGAAAGCAACGACTCAGCAAGCCTTCCTTTTGGTCCGTTGTCTCAGGGCTTCTGGCTTTCGGCAACGAAGGGATCTGCAATAATGGGGACTCAACAAGAAACAGTCGCCTTCAAATGGTTCTCCTTGGGTTTCTGTTTGACTTGCTGTTCTTTCTAAAAAGAAGGAATGGACATCATCCCCTACAAATGGTTCCCTTTGGGTTTCCCTGGAAACAGCAACCAAGCGGGGGTTCACCATTTGGGTAAGGCAATGGGGCAATGTGAAAGGCAACGATGTTGCCCAATGTTTGCCCTACTGTGGACGAAATCCTGCACCACCTAAGGAACCATCGGAAACCATCGTTTATTTACAGGAGAATCATCATTCTAGAGTTTCTTAGTGTGAGCCTCAGGGTTCCAGTGCCTTCCATCCCAGTCACTTGACATGATTTCCTCGGTTGCAGGCGAAAAAGGGAGAACAATAACAATAGCACAACACCTTTAAAGCTGACATGCAATTCATGTCCGGTGGATCCATTTCCGAATTGAATTGCGAAACACCTGCCCAGCTCAAAGAAAATCCTGCAACCCCAAACGGCCTCTGAGCATCAAAGCTTTGTGGCCGCCGGTACTGCGCGGGCCAGTCGAAGAACCAGGCTCATGCGCTTGCGCTGCAGCATGGTTGTCTGGCTAATCAAATAAGACAAACTCCATACTCGATTCACTCGAATCCTCCGACCCTTCATTGGACTCATCAACCCAAGAAAAGTTGCAGCCGGCAAAGGCACCCTTGCCAATACGAGTCATGGACTTAGGGATGGTCACACTCGCTAGCGAGCTGCAATTTTCGAAGGCACGCTGCCCGATCTCAGTCACCGCACTTGGAATGGTTATGCTTGAGAATGAACTGCAACCTTGGAAGGCACGATTTCCAATCTTGGTCACTGTCTCGGGAAAG